CCTGCAAGGGGATCTCGCCGCGTGCCAGCCTCTTCTTGTACCTAGGCCCGGTTCGATCCGCTATAGTGTTTGAGGCTGCGGTTCTAGTGTGAAAACACAACATTATTCCTCAGGCTTCCTTCGTATAGATTATCTACTATATTGAACATAATACACACCTCAAAACCTCCCTGTTCTGACTCTTGGGGCCCCTGAGTGAGATCGAGCACCGCATCATACAGTCCAAAAAACAACCCTGAACTCGCCAATGCTGCGAAGCTTGCGGCTCACGACTAAGACCACTACTCCGAGACCCCGAAGCCGTAGAAAGCACCTCGGACACCAAAAAGTAGAACCCCAGGCCTCAGGCATGTTGCTTGAAAACCCACCTTTGGGGTCTACTTCAGGTTAAAGGATTTAGGTACGGGGCGAGACGAAGTAGTGATTGGCGGCATGCCATACCATGGCAATGTATGACACCAAATTTGGCGACACTGCGTAGGGGAATAATGTTGGGGGTTGCTGAGGCCCCTCTAGACTCTTCGCCAATCCCAAACCGAGTACAGTATACTCTCTGATTTACCCGTGCAGACTATCTAAACACCAAGCATCCAACTCCGAAATCCTTACAGAACCCTTAAAGGCTTCTGGAGCCCTTAGTAGCAACCTTTCTAGATCCCCGTCGAAGAGCTTTCATAGAACCCCCCAAAATAGCATAGGTCATTATCAAGGCCCCTTTTGTAATGCATCCGAAGAGCCAGGGAGCCTTCCAGGGCTCCTTCAGACCATCCGCCTGGCTGTCTTGTTCCATGATAAGGGCTCCATAAGGGTTCCCTACCGGTTACATAAGGGTTTCAAAGAGGGTTCGATGATGGCTCCGGAAGGGGTGTACATAAAGGCTTTGGGTTGTCTCCGGGGGTGCGAAAAAATTGCGATCGAGTTCCTCAATAGCCCATGCTACTACTGTTTGGATGCAGCACCGTCTTCCCAGGCCTTATCAAACCTTACAAAGGGGCAGCTCTGGACCAAGACAAAGATCTGCCGCCAGCTTCTTGCACCGGCAACCAGCTTCATACAGAAGGCGCTTCATCACATCATGGCGTCACTAGTCAAGGCGTTCCGGATTCAAAGAAGCTGCTGTGTACTTCAGCAGAGGGAACCAAGAACGACAGAACGAATCAAGCAACACTTCAGCAACTGGATCAAACATGTGCACATAGCTCGAGGCTGCACAGAGAATTCTTCCCACCAGCGCGAGCCCCTCGAGAACTTTCATGTACGATGACTTATTCCAGCATCTATCACGGATCTTCACAATCTTCACAACCGTACCTCTTCTCTTCAGGACTTCCATGCACTAATAATCAAACTGCTGACCCAGACCCCATCCAACCCTAGCCCGCCCCCCTGATCAACTACTAGTAACTAGTAACCATCAAATCTGCACAGGCAGGCCCTCTTGCCCCATCCGTCGGGAACCTCCACCTGGGTCATCGGTCTAGCAGGGTGCAGGTTTTAGGGCTATGCGCTTGGCGAAGGACTTGCAGCACCTCGAGGACTTGGTATTGCTGATGTCCACTCGGGAAAAATCATGACCTAGCCTCGCGATATCTATACACCGCAGAAGCCTTGATGGCCCGGTTCTGGCGAGGCTGCGAGACCTTCTTGCAGTATGCAATCATAACAGGTACCGGTACCCTGTGGCCATAAGCAAAGCCCCTTCCAGACCCGCAGAGGGTTGCCCGAAAAGCCCCTGACAGAGCGCCGCTGACGCTCTTGCTCCTGCGAGCACTCGACGAGAATCCGTGTTCTGAAAGTTCGGGAAAAGGCTTTTATATCGATGTCAAGTGCGTGCTTATGCAAGACTTACAGGGCACGGAAGCGATTCGCTGCAGACTCAATTCCGGCATCCATTGTGCAGGTCTACCCAGTGCTTGTCAGAAAGCCGCTCTCGCATCGCACTCTATACAACCCTAAACTCTGTCGAACATCGAGGCCCCGTCAAACGCCAGGCAGTTGTATGTGCAGCTCGCACAACCACCCTACCCATGTGAAACAATATATATATATATATATAGAGATATAGATATAGATATAGATATAGATATGTGTGTACATAAATATGTGTACGTATTATATATGTAGGATGATTTTGGCATTCTCAAACAGCTCACACAACATCCTGCCTGGGGCCAGTCCGGGCGATACCTGAATTCAGAAGCATTGGGAAGGCATTGTGCGAGTGAGGGCTGATTTTTGGACGGAGCCGGATTTGGGTTATATATATATATATTATTATTATTATTGTTATTATTATTATTATTACTATTATTATTGTTATTATTATATATTATTATTAATATAAATAATTGTTATTATTATTTTTATGAATTATTAATATTATGATTATTATTATTATTGTTATTATTGTCATTATTATTATTATTGGTAGTATTACTATTATTACTATCACTGTTATTGTTACTATTATTATTATACAATTTTTATTATTACTATAACTGTTATTAGGGTTATGGGTTTCAACAATTGGGCGTTGAGGATTGTCGGAACCTCACAAAGATTTAGGGCTCTGAAATATGTTCGGGCGTTCGCAGGTGTGGACAGAGCTCACACAAGCCTCCAGATTTTGGAGACAACTTTTGAACTGAGCAATGACTTGCTTCGCCCCACTGAAACGTGGTTGTTCAGTCAGACAGAACCTCAAAAACCTTGTAGAAAAGGTTTTGGCCGAACCTTTTCGCCAAACAGGTGAGGGAGATGTTGCGCAAGTGTACAGCATAAGAAAGGCATAAGGGAGGCCAGGATCGTCAAGCACTATATACTCTGTTGACTCCGAAAGCTCTGAAACCCTAAATCTGAACCGTGAAATCCGCGAGCTAGGGCAGAAGGCATCGGCCTCTTCCGTCGGGAGGGACCACCGCGACCGCGCTGCCGCGAAGGAGGGTACGCCTCACGGCCTTGGCCTTGGCAAAGTGATGCAATCTTGGTATACTATAGTATACTAGAGTATATGAGTATATTATAGCATACTATAGTATATTTTGCTATCGTAGTGTGTGGCCTCGGGCCCGGGACCCTGAACGCCAAGCCCTCATCGAGGGCAGGGTTTAAAGGCAAGGCCTTCGGCCCGCAGGGGTTGGCGATGAGGTCGGGGGCTTCTGTGTAAAGTGAATCATGGAGGGATGGACGGATGGAGGGATGGAGGGAGGGAGGATGGATGGGCTCATCCTTTTCACGGACGCCTTGCCTCCTGCTTTCGGGGAGCGGAACCAGATAGGATCCAACCCGTTTTGGGTTTTCTCCCCGAGAAGAAGCACTGCGGCACTCTCGAACTACTTCGAGGCCTGCAGCTATTCACTATTCCGTGGGAGCTGGGAGCTCAGCACTGCTGCAGCAACACAACCAGTCTACAGTCTACACAAACCTGTTTTGCTCCTTCATGTCCTCACCTCCCCGAAGCTAAACCCTTCCCCCTGGGGCTGAAGTCTGCAAACTGTATGGTGACTACGACGACGACGACTACTACTACTACGACTACCACGTGCACCTGAACCAATCCTTTCTGCCCGTAGAAGCTCATAGCCCGATCCTTGTAACATAGCGGCCCGAATAATCAGCCCAGGGCCTCGTCGAACTTAAAGGAACCCTGAGACCCCAAGAAATTTGCTTTCTAGTTAGACAAGCAGAGAAGCAGAGAAAGCTTCGAACGAAGAATCCTGAGATTACAAGATCTGCTGTCTGCATCCCGTCTGCGTGTTTTGTTGTTGTTTTTTTTGCTGCATCGTGTCAATATTGCCTGCTTGTCAGATTTTACCATAGGAACACATACGGATAAGAGGTGTATCCATCATGTGCCTGTAATATACGAGCAGCAACAACAACAGTGATAACACGGCAAGGTACGACGAATCCTTTGGTTATGTCCATGGTCACCTACAATGTTTATCTATGTGTTTGCATGTTTGCCTTTGGCCAATGCTGGGGCTGCTGCACATGCGTGCACGTGCGGAAATTTGATATTGTATATACATATATGTATATATGTATATATATATATATATAGATATACATATATATATATGTAGAGAGAGAGAGAGAGAGAAAAATATACATATACATGTGTATGTATAGATATATATATATATATATATATATGTATGTAGATATGCATATATATATATATATGTAGATATACACACGTACTACTTTGGTAATGTATACTTTCTACGCGGCCAAAACTTGTGGAAGCAGCCGGTGCATGCACACAATGAACAACTCATGACTTATATGTAGAGCCAGCACAGTCACAGCAGCATACGTAAAAGTCGTGTCGCACGTAACTATATAGCACATATGTACGTATGTGGAAGCACCTCTAAGAACAATCAATATACATATGAACAGATTATTGGACAAATTTGTACATATATGGCTAGAGCTGAGTTTTACATACATGATGCATACATACGATGAACGCATATATCGGGTGTTTACTCATTTATTCACTTCTCAACGTATATGTATATTTATGTGTACAAAATTATGTATATTCTGCATATATACATGCACAACTGGAAGCGTATAAACATTGTTCAATTCCCTATAGGACTGAAGTGTTTGGTGTTTTGCTTTGGTGTTTGTTCTTTAAGTTTTGTTGTTCAGTACCTTGGCGGGGAAGTATTCCTGGAACTGCAAGTTCATGCAAATTGCTCTATTCCTGTTGAGCGGATATGCTTCCTCTTCCAACCCCCACTTTCGGAACATAAATTCCGGCTACATATTGCCAAGAAGGACAGGTGGGTCAATAGGCTTTAGTGGTGGGTGCCAATTAGTACTACAGTCTTCAGGGTCCCACCCAATGCTTCGATACTTCACGGGTTTACATGTGTCGGTGTGGCCTTGCGTGTAGTCAAAGTGAGTACTGGTCGGGCCTAGAAGAACATGAGCTGCAACTCCCAAAGCCGTCGGTGGCGGGCCGAACGCATCGCATCTCAGAGGACCTACACGTTCCAGGTCATTCGCCTGAAGCCGTGGCGATGATGAGATCTTGAAAACGAAGGAGCTTTAACGCGAACTAAAGACATATACATTACACATATCTATAGATTATACAACCGTCACATCCCCACCATAGCGCTGGCGGGAGGGAGATTCGGGCTGCACGAATATTGCAAGTACGACCGCCAACCGCCCAAAGGAGGTGCAGGGGGCCTACATTTGGGATGCATGGGTCATGTGTACGAGCCGTCGACGATCCACATCATCATGTTTTACATATTCAAAGTACTGACTTTGATATCAATCGCCATCCTCATCACCAGCTTCTTCAGTAGCATCGTCCTCATGGTCATCTTCTACAGTGTCAAAAATAGTCTATTACTTCTTGGTAGCATTCTCGAACAAGAGATTCATTCAGCTTCCTTGCAGTGACCGTAGTGTCTGAGCCCCAGCAAGCCCAGATCACCTCAATCCAAACCCCAACCCCGAACCTTCAAACCCGAAACCCCAAATCCAGACTTGAATATTGCAGGGGCCTGAATCGTATAATCTACCCCCAAACCCTCTTCGGATTCTGAAGTCCCATGCATGCCCCCCCCCCCCCTTCACCCCGAGCTCCCGACCTGCCGCCCTTCCGGGGGGGGAAACGCGGCTCGGCCGGACGTCGCCTCGAAGACCATGTTTAGGGCTTCGGGTTTAGGGATTTATGGTTTAGATTAGGGTTTAGAAATTTGGGATTTTCGGGCTTTGGGGCTTCGGGCTTAAACGGTGGGATTATGCTTCAAAAAGGCCTTTAGAAGAGGCTTGTGTGGTTCTACAAGGGTTGCTGGCGCTTTATCAAGTGCAAGTGTGTCTAGAGGGCTGCTTTCGTTTGCTGTATTTTTATGTGTGTGTGTGTGTATATATATATACATACTAATAGCTCATAAGGTGTGGTTTTCTTATCAGGAATTCTGTGAGGTTTCTCTGATGTGTTATGGGGCGTATGAACAGTAGGGGTTCCTGTACTTGCAAAGACGCTGCAATTCAGACTTAGAACCGATGCTACAGTCCAGTTTTTCGTGAAACTCCTCGTACTCAGCAGGGAGACTCATCGACTTACTGACTTACAGTAGGCCTTCCTCTTGTATGGCTTCGGCTGGTTTCCGGGGCTTGGGGTCTTCGAGTGGAGCTCAGCAAAAGCCTCGACAGCTTCAGACTGCAGAGCTTTAGGCATCGCTATGGGTAGACGTCTTTTTGTGTCTTCTTCTCTTTTAGTCTTTGTCGTTCCTTCCTCCCCTCGCCGTAGCTGGCTATGTTTCTTATAAGTTTTCTTATTCTCTTACTTATGGCCTTTTTCCTTGTTTCTTATCGTCTGGGCGCTTGCGGTTATTGTCTTCTTTGTCTGCGCTCGTGCGATGATCAGCTTCCTCACTCCACCACTGGTGGCCATCTTTTATGTCGTTCTTGTTCGATGTTCCTCCCGTGGCCCCCGTTCTGCGTTCCTATCGTACATGCGGATGGGTGTCTTTTGTCTGCATTTTCCCATCGTCCCTTCTGTGCTTCTCTGCAGTTCATCTCCGGCTTGCATCGGCTCCCCTACACACACTCGCTCCTCTCAGCAATTCGCTAAAATTTCATCGCCAACAAAACAGCTGCAGCTGGGACCCCGGGCATGTCTCGCATGTCTCGCTGCCGCCTGCCCCCAGTCTCGCGCTCCGATGCCTGGTCAGGAAATGGTTTACGGCTGAGGGCTTGCGATTTTGGTATTCGGATTCAAGTGTGTCAGGGCATCACAGTTGAAGTACTTAACTTTGTATAGTAGCAGGTGTAATAGTAGCCTGACTAGAAACGGTGACGCTCCTAGTACCTAGTAGATATGGTGCGAGTGCGACAGCCAACAACATCAGTAGCTGTGAAAAGGACCTTACTGGCAATAGCAGAAACGCAAGAAGCAAAAGATGTGACCATGATGTGGAGAAACCCACACCGAAGGATGTCTCAAGCTTCAGTCTTCAGTTCATAACAAGTCATAAAACCCTCAGCCTAAACCCGTCAACCCTAAACCCCTCAAGCCCCCAATACCCCGAAACGCCTGAAGACCCTAAAACCAGACCGTCCCACCTTGTCTCTCGGTGGAACGGTATACGGCCATGGAGAGACATTGGGCACCTGCTCGAAAAGAGACCACCCACAACTCGCGCGGTCCAAAGTTTAGGGCTTAAGGTAAAGGGTATATAAGAGACTGACGAGACGTCTGTCGGGTACTTTAGTAATGCGAAGGAGTACTGGGTTTAGGGTGCAGGGTTTTAGTGCTTTGGAGGGGGCGATGTCGAAACGGCTTCGGCAGTAGCATGCTCTGATTGCAACGGAAAGGTATGCCCTAAAGCCTACAGGCCTGCACCCGAAAAAACCTGCCTGAAACCCAAAAGCTTACCTGTTGGGGCTCCTGTGATTTCCTATAGGAAAGACCCCAGAGTAAGGCTACCCTCACGCCTTACTCAATCGGGCAGTCGGAGAACGCGACCCCGACGCCCAAAGACCTTCCCCAATCCCGAAACAAAACCGTCAAAACCCCAGGCCCAAGCGCCCGAAAAAAACGACATGCCCGAAACGCCCCGCAAAAAAGCCCTGAACTTCCCCAGATCAGAGGCCTGAGGCTGAGGGCGCCAAGGCGGTGCCTTGCGAGGGGATACCAGAAAGATGCCTAGATAAAACGACGGGGATTTGTGAGGTTTTGTGCATGTTGTGCACATAAATACTGAATAGCTAATACATAACTAATACATAGCTCATAAATAATAATACAGAAAAACGTACTCAAAGAATTGCTGGCTTTAATTCATTCATTCACTCATTCATTCACTCATTCATTCATTGGTTTTTAATTCATTCATGCATTCATGCATTCATAGATACACGCATACATGTACTGTGCGGGCCGGGAGAAGTAGGCGAGGGTTTTCAGGTGTTGGACACCAGGGCTTAGAACAGCAGAAAGAGGTCGACTCCTCGAGGTTTCGCAATACAGGAAATCTTCGGGAAGCCTTCGGGAATGAGAGTGCTTCTTCTTGCAGACTCCTACATGACCAGTTCGGGGTCCTAACTTCGGGTTTTCACCGACAGCTTCCTGGGATTCGGTCGATTCCAGGGCTCAGGGATGTTAATGGGGTTTGGGCCAGGTTGGGATTTGGGTGGATCCCACCTGAGATCTGCCTGTGTCGCGCAGAGCACACAAACCTACAAGAAGAGTCATGCCTTCGCAGAACAGGCCCTAGAAACAGGCTCAAGAGAGAGAGAGAGACAGAGAGAGAAGGGGAGACAGAGAGAGAGAGATAGCGCTCGGCCCTCAGGGTTTGAAGTTTGCGCCGGGTTTGTGGTTCATGGTCATCGGCCCCAGCACCGATGGAGCAACTACGAATCAAAATCCTCAAACCACCGAAGCCAAGCCAGCATGCCAAATACCAAGGCCTGGCCCCTATTGTCGCTTGTCGACCTCGAGCCCGTCACCCGATCTCTAAGCCCTGAACTCCGAAATAGTCATGCGCTGTTGGGCCCGTGCGTGTGAATGTGCTGGTCCACCATAGTGGCCTTGAGAATGGGGCGAACGTGCAAAAGCAAGTCTTATTGCAAATGCTGCACAAAACTAGCAGTTGTTTCCAAGGCGGATTAGAAGAATCGTGGGAAGACCACATCCATTCTTTGCTGGCATGTTTCGAAGAGAAGCCATATGGATGAGCAAGATGTTTACTATCCCCTTTCTGATTATGCTTTGGTCTCTCCCAAAACCTTATTCCTGTTATTGAAGTCCCTTTATTACATTGGAGTTTCTTATCCGTGGCAGTGGTTGTGACATACTTGCAATGCTCCTGAAGTCTGACTGGAATTAGTGTAACATGTGCTGCGTACAGTGCCACTATATGCAAAGTATTTGCGGCACATGCTTTCAGGAGGACCCAGGATGTGTATCTATGGGAATAGCATCATGCCAGTAGATCGGGCACTCACTACTAGTTAGTACAATGCATGTGCAAACAGAAATATAATACTGTAGCTGCAAAGGGTTCCAGCATCGCCAGTCAGATGCTACTGTTTGGGTTCCACTGTGAACTTCTTGCAGTGTGGTCTATGCCGACCTTAGAAACACAAGGAACCAAACTACAAATTCTTCATAGTGTTGTAGTAGGAACTACAAGCTGCACTATTACCAAGTATTGAACATTTTCATATAGCCTATCTAAGTAACCCATAGTATGCTTGCACCAGTTACTCATTCCAAACGTTCTAGCATAGTATCACCAAGTATTCAAAACCCTATGGTCCACCTACTGCACATCCCTCATAGCAACTCTTCGAAGCCACTCAAGTATAAATAGTACAGTATACCTTGAACCCTAAACCCTAAACCCTAGGCCCATAATCCCTTACAGTAGGTAGAGGCTCTCCGAGGTTCCAGGCCCAGGAAGGCCACTGGGTTCGCCTCAGATGTGAAGGCTTTGGGTTCAGGCGGTTGGGAGGAAGGTTTGGGGTTTCGGGGCTTGGGGTTTTGGGGGCTTAGGGCCTCGGGTTTGGGGTTCCGGGCTTAGGGTTTGTGGCCTGGGGCTTTTGGGGATTGGGGTTTTGGGAAAACGAAGGAGTACAGGAATGGCAGTACTACTTATTCAGACTGCTAGGAGTTCTGGAAACGCGACTGAGGTGCCACCGGGTGATCGTACCCGGGTCTGAGTGGAGCCATCTGCCGTTGTGGAAGCGCCTCCGTCAGAAGTCGAGAAGGTTCGAGTTCGTGGGTGAGGGTCAAGGCTCATGTTTTCGGGGTGTCGGCGGCTGAAAGAATCCGGCTTCTGTGTTGTGGGGCGGTTCAGGATTTCAACTGTGCCCACTGCCTCTGACTGCTATTGCATGTGCAAGGTTTGTGTGGGAGGGGCGCTGTCACCTCAAACCTCCCATCCCTAATCCGACCTTCAGACGGACCTTCAGAAGTCTCAGAAACCACAAACCTCATAGAGCCCTGAACCCTAAATTCTAAGCTTGGGTCCCTGTTTAGGCTGCTGCAGCCTCTGTGCCACTCCGAAGCCCTCAACCCTAATCAACCCTGAACCCTGAAAAAAGCGAGTATGGAGCATCCCCCGCCTTCTGAACCTTGCTAGGCCTGCTAGGAGGAGGCGCGTCCTTCGGAGCTCAGAGCTTTGGCTTCTAAGGAAGCTTGCGGTTTCGGGTTTGAGGAGGAGTGGGCAGGGGTAGGGGTTAGCGTTCAGGGTTTAGGGATTTAGGGCTCTAGGGTTTAGGGCTCATTTTAAGTATGAAGGCCTGGGGCTGGTTGAGGGTTTGGAGTCAGGACCGGCTTCCTGTGGGGAATCTGTTCCTCAAGTCGGAGCAAGAACTAACATTCTTCAGTTTAGGCCTGGACGGGCCTGGTGAACAAAGACGCAACATGAGATCGCACAAAGAAGTACAAAGACGCGCCCCAGCCAGACAGCCAGAGCCAACCAACCTACCAACCAACCAGGTGACGAAGCAACCATAGCACACATAGGACTCGTGGACCAACACAGGCTATATCAAGCCACGGCAACCGCGACATGCCCCAACCCCGATACGTAGAAGTCTTCAGACACCACAGTTACCTCCAAACCTCGGGTGATCCCATGTGGGAAAGCCTACATCGCCAAACAGCTCCGTAAGGGGACGCAGACCCCCAAGGAGCAACGGGATTGCCCGAACAAGACATATGGGCAGTCAAGGAGGGGAGGCCGGCCTCTGCCAAGCCGAAACTATGGAAACGACAGCTCGGAGCCGGCAGAGTCGAAATGCCACGAGGGAGAAAGAGGACAAGGACAAGAGCTAGACCTCTTTGCCCAAACAACAACTAAAACAGACTTGAAAAACCAAGGACCCTCGGCAACAACTGTGTTATTTACTTTCTCTGACGGATCTCCATACTCCCAACAGACACGCCAAACCCCCCGCCTCCGCCAGCACGCGCTGGTCACCGGGCTGCGGCGCCTCCTTTGGGCGCGCTTTGGGCCGCACGGCCCACCTGAGCAGTGGGGGGTCCCTGCTCGATCCTGTAAGCTTCCCCAAATTCGCTCGCGATTCCTGAATCGAAACTCCCTAATCCTAAACACGCCTGAAACTCGTAGAAAGAACTGAAGCATGCTGCTTCCTAAACCCAAGCCCTAGTGTTGCTTCCGGGCTCTCGGTTCCACAAATCACCAAAACCCTCGAACGACGCAACCCGAGATCAAACCCCAAATTCTGATTCCGAAAAACTACACTTCAAACCACAAATCCCAAACCCTGAACCCTGAACCGCCATCCCAATGCCTCACAGGCTTACACCGAGGCTTTAGTAGGGTTTGAGGTTTCAGGGTCTGGGTTTAGGGCTCAGGATTTGCGGGTTGAAAGTGTCACACTTCCGAATTTCGAGGCTTAAACGGGACAGGGCTTTGAGGTTCAGAGCTTGAACTCTCGACAACTGAATGCCCTCTGCGTGTCACCTGAATCTGACGCCAAATGCACAGCTCCTCTTCAAAAGACCTGCAAACCCTTTAGACGAAACGTGAGACCCTTAGCTGCATGCCCAAAGACTTTGCCCACGAGTTCTGCGGGGCGGCCACTGGGTAAGCCGACCTGCTGGGCGTCTTCTGTATATTCTACAACCATATTCATGATCTTATAAGTTATGTGCTATTGTATATCATACATTATTTACTGCGATTTTCGGATTTGGAGAGTCACTTATGAAGCTTTAGCCTAAGGGTTCATATCACTGCAACCCGAAAGGAGGCCGCTAACTAAACGACTACAAATGATGAACACATATGCAAAAGCCCGGTACATAAGGCATACACCCTGCCTTTGAAAAGACATCTGTCGAACCTCCTGCATTCAAACACTGCAGAAAACCCCCTAGCCTCTGACTCAGAACAACCCAGTTTAGGGCTTTGGGCTAGGGATTAGCTTCGTTTTTTCTTTTCGTCCCTTTTCCGTCTGAGTTTTCGGGTTAGGGTTCTAAAACCCTAAACCGCTCAAGCCCCACTCAGGGAGGGGGGGGAGCCTCTTGGCTCCGATGGCGGGTGCCGCTGCGGCTTCGGCCATCGGCCTGCCGAGACTGCGTGCTTCGATGCAATTACTACATAAAGTATCATATGTCATATATCACGATACTCACATAGTATGTTAGTATTGCGACATATGACCTAGTATCATGCTTATTATTCTTATTATTACTAGTATTATTGTTATTGTTGGGGTCTAGGGTTTTAGGGACCCTTGTAGTAGCAAAAGTGACATAAGTGCGTGTTCTATTTCGCTTCAATTCAACACCTTGGTATTTTGGATGACTTGGAATTCAATGTTAACTCATAGACTTAGAAATTAGTACATTCTGGAACATTAAGATTTTATCCTATAGACCGAGTCTTTCCCGACCGCTCCTATGTCATCCTATTAAAAAAAAGTGAAGTGAGTTATGGCACCCTTTCAGACCCCCTATAGCACCTGTTGTACGATCATAGAGCCCGTAAAGTGGCCTTAAAGTACCCTTGTGGGACCGAACGATACCCTCACTGTACAGATCTCAGGCTACGGCCTGAAGCTGAGGCTCTTGTCTAGGATTCAGCGTTTCAGACGTTACTAGTAAGAGTTAAAGCCTAGGAGGAGGGTCTTAGACTTTAGAAGTTCACGGCTTAGGCTTATGGGGTCCAGGGGGCCTTCTGGTGCGACCGAGAAGCGACAGTTCCGACAAGCAAATGCACCACAGTCGCCGAAAAGAAAAGGACGCAGCACATGACAAATACCACCAACGGATCCTACACTCTAAACCGCTTCATGCCTTGAAAGACTCTCATCGGCGAGCACGATGAGCCGACAGGATCTGACTAACTGACTGAGAGTAGTCTTAGACCCATTATCAACAGCACCCAAGAGCCTGTGCATGGCTGCCTGAACCTCGAAGGCTTGAACACTAGTTTTGAGTGTAATTCACTAATTATGATTATGGAAATTAACTTTCAGTTGTACAGGCTTTTAGCTTCCATACTGCTTGGATTCTGGAGCGAGAGCGCAAGGGGGTGCGATGGCAGGTGACCTGGAGGTCTCGACGTGCAGCGTTTTTCACAGAGAAGAAACAGCGAAGCTGCGGGTGCAACCGAAACGGCAATCTAATGCAGGGGCCTTATACCAATTAAAACAAGTTTTTGGGGCTTCCTTATCATAACTTCAGTTCAATATCCCCCGAAACCCTATTCTGATTATTAAGGCCCCCCACGTTATATCCGTATAATAGCCCTTCTAGCAGCCCTTATAGACCCCTTTATTGGAACCCTATTCTCATCATTAAGGCTGCTCCAAGAAGGAATGAGCCTCTTTCGCGTCGAAGCTCCTATGGGCGGCCTGCGATGGAAGCTTTGCGGATTCATGAGCCAGCCTCATGTACAGTACTGTAAGGGCCACTATAAGGATATAGCGTAGGGCCCTTGACAATTAGACTAGGGTTCCCTTAAAGGGGTCTATAAGGAAGCCAGCCTGGTGTACAGTAGAAGCCCAAAAGTTGGAAGCCCATTAGCCTCGAACCTTAAGGCCATTTTTAGGGAATCCCAGCACTGTTTGGCCTTCATCCGATTTCCAACTTTGTGGGGTATACTGTAGGGGTCTATCAAGGCTACTGTAAGGGCCACTATAAGGATATAGCGTAGGGCCCTTGGTAAGCTGCAGTGCAGGCCCCAGTTAGAGAATAAACTTCGGTGGAGAGGTGGCGATCCATGCCACACCTTGGTTTTTGTTGTTTATATTTTTCTTTTAGTATTACATACATACATACATACATACATACATACATATATGGATATATATATATATATGTATGGATGGTTGTCAAAATTACGGTCCCCTTTTGGGCACCTAAATCATAGGTGCCCAATTATGATAGGGACCCAAAAAGGGACCCTAAGTTTGACAACCACCCATATGACGTATATAACATAGTAGGGTGTGGCCCGGGTTAAGCCTTCGCTAGCTAGACACTCCTGTGCCCGAACATCTCTTCTGCTGACCCGGAGCGTGAAGGAAGACTTGCTGGAACGAGTCATACGGGAACAGGTGATTTCTGCATTCGAAAAACTGAGATTCGTACTATATAAGATATGGCGACGTATAGATTTGGGTCTGGCATCAAGGCCGTCTACGAGGCTCCTCGAAGCTGGTGAACCACCTCAACCCCGAAGCTTCCGAACTTACTACAGAAGCCTGAAGCGCCAGATAGGGTCTTGTTCCGGCCAAACGATTGAGGCCTCCATCATTAACATAGAGCCTCTTACGGTCAACCCTCCAAGCGTCAATGCCAGATCCCATTCCCCAAAGCTCCAACGCAAGCCTGTTGCGTGGTGGCACCGTTACCGGCGCAGTCCTCTGCTTCAAGGCTTGCGGATTGAAAAGCTCAGTTGAAGAGCACCAGGCCCTCAACATTCCTGAACCCTAACCCCCAAACCCAACCGTTCAGGCACAAGACAGAAAAATCGTAGTCTTCCAGAGTTCCCAAGGCCTTCTTGTGCCTGTGTCCGCTCAGCTTGAAATTGTGGAAGATGTGGAGTTTAGGTACATTATGCGACCACCCCATGAAGACTGTAACAGTCATCTTGGTTTCAAGCATTCCAGCGTATATCTCATACTTCGATCCTGATGTTTTGCTTCTACAACATGGCCGTAAGTAAGCCATGAAATCACGAGAAGCGAGGACGAAAATCTCAAAATTTAAGTCTCCAACTCGCTCAAAACTCCGCGGAACCATCCCAAAACAGACCTATCAAGGTAAAACACTTCCCTCGACCAAAGACCTGCTCCTGCCCACGGAGCCCCGTCCTGCTCAGAAGCGGCGTGGCAGCCTTTGCTTCCGCCCTGGTCAGGCTGTGAGGCTTCTGAGGTCTTCTGGGTTCTCGTTCAGGGATTGAATTTAAGTTACCAGAATAAGGATCTATAGAAATTTCTGTAATTACTACAGACCCCTGGTCTAGTAATAGCTATCAGCTATAGAGCCCCAAAATGCTAACTTAAGCTAAACCCCTTAACAAGAGCCCCAGTCTTGGGATTTAGGCAGCAAGCTCCGCTTGGTCAGATGTCCAGATGTTGGACTAAGGTCTAGGGAAGTTACAATCTTCGATAATCCTGAAACCCACAGACACTTGTGCAGACTTTCTGCTGTCCCCTTACCCTAAGATCGCCATTACACTACACCGTTAAAGCCTCCAAGCCTTGAAGCACGAAACCCCAAAACTCCCAAGACCCTTGTATTCCTGAACCCTCAAAGCCCTAATAACCGTTGCATGAACCCAAAAGCCCAAACGCCCTGACTCTGCCTCTCGGAAGAGGCCGCAGGAATCTCCGAAGACTCAGCCGGATCCGTCCTTAGGCACTCCCGAGCCTCCTAGAAGACTAAGCCGGGTTTGGGAGTTTCGGGCTTGGGGTTTAGGGGTGTTTGGGGTTTAGGGCTTAGGGTAAGAAGTACAAAGATTAAATTTAGGGCTTAGGGTAAGAAGTATAAAGACTAGGATTTGGGCTTGGCGCTTCGGGTTTCGGGATTAGGGACCAGGGTATTGGAAAGAGCGCGAAGAATCGGCTGATGCCGAACACTTACATGCAGTCCGGTAAAGGGATTGTGGGCGTTGTATGTGCACTGTTTCAGGCTTTAGGGTTGCAGCGGATTCAGGCAAGGCAGCTACTGCATCAACTTCAGCACGATGCGAAGAGGTCATGAAGAGAAGCTGTCGATCTGTGCAGTCACACGGGTGTGCACCGAAGTCTCCGAGCCATCAACAAACACCCTGCAATATAGGGACCTCAATAACTACCTATACTGTTATATTTATAGGATTGTGGACCTTCAAAACCCTACTCTAATTATTACAGCCCGTATAGTAGCACTTCTCATTTATGTGCGCGCCCTTCGGTGATTCATGCAAGGCAACTCTCAAAGCGAGCCAGGCGGCGGTGTCCGGTTCTTTGCCATCCTTGGTTATGCAACATCTTGGTGATACATGCAGTAGCGAAGAGATAATATAGGGGCCTTAATGGTTAGAATAGGGCTTGGGGATTATAATATACTATACCCATAATGAGGAACCCATTGGTAATTATTTAGGCCCCTATAGTAGGAAGACACACAGAGAGCGCGAATGATGTGGGGAAGGAGGCCGCGGAGCGAAACGGAAGTACTATACTGGATCACATTCTACTATGAGCCTCCTTCCTCGGAGGAGAATTTCAAGAGCTCTGGGCCTCAGATGCTGAAGAAGGCCAAGGATTCAACCAGACCCTCTAAACTCCTTCCTATCAAACGAATGCAAAACCCTCCAAAGCCTCAGCAACAAGCCCCTTGTCAAAGCAAAACCTGGGCCCTACACCTGGGTAGTTGTCAGAATTAGGGTCCATTTTGGGGCACCCTACATATTAGGTGCATATTAGCTGCTGTATTATATTAGGGACCCAAAAAACTGACCCTAATTTTGACAACCACCCAGCTTGTGCCTAGGTGCGGTCTGGCTTTGGACCGAAGAGTGGATTTCGGAGGACCGGCAGCGAGCCGCCGGGCGAAGAAGTCCTGCGCCCGGGGCGGAGCCGATAGGGGTTTAGGGGTTCAGGGTTTAATGGTTTTCGGTTTAGGTGTGAGGGGTGGTGGGTTCCGCTGTTCTTTCAAGAATTTAGGGCTTCCGTTTTGAGGGCTGGCAGGCAGGGTCTGCTGCTTACAGCCTGGTACGGGAACCTTCCTTATGAGGAAGGGGCCGGAGACCCCCGGCGATTACAAGCGGAACCCCAATCTCCGAACATCTCTGTTCCCAAACCCGAAACTCTGACTCCAAGCCCCACCGCGGGGTTGGCGCCCGCGCGCAGTGCTTTTGCAGCACCTTCTGAAGACGGACACGGAGGGTTTCAGGGCTTAGTAGGGAAAGCTTGGGGTTCAGGGTGTAGGGGCTTGTTTAGTTAATTTTTTGTTTAGGGTTTAGGGTTTGGGCCGGTTTAGGCTCGGGGCTTGTAGTGCTGAACGTTGAGGAAAACCTCCTCTTCGAGCTGTTCCTACATCAAATCCTGTGAAGATGGGACAAAAGCAAAATTAATGGTTGGGGGGTGTGCTCTAGACTCCAGCCATAAGATACAAGCATCCAAGGGCCTACAGGCTTGAAGCCACCACGCCACCCACAACCCGAAGCCCCAAAGCCCAAAGCATGAATCTTTGAGACCTAACTACTGAATTTCCCAACCTCCAGGACCACGAAGAATCATCGAGGCATTTGGGTAGGTCGTAGCATCTTCACACTTCACACTTGCAATTACTAGGGCTCGCTGTCACTACTCCGATTCCCCCTCCTACTCATCCTACTCCGACTCCGACTCCTTCTCCTGCTCCTACTTTCGCGATCACTACGACCACCACTGCCACCACGACAGAAGAGCACTACCAGGACTACTACTACCATCACCAGCACCACCGCCGCCACCACCACGACTGCTGCTACTTCTACTACTCCTACTACTACTACTGCTGCTACTACTACTACTACTACTACTACTACTACTACTACTACTACTACTACTACTAGCCACCCCCCCCCCTCCCAACTACACTTGTTCCATCCGGGCTGGGCAGCGGTAGCTGCTAGGCGCCTTAACTGCGATAGTTGCAGAAGATGCACGGGGTCAGGCTCCTTATCTGTGACAGCTGCAGAAGTTGCAGAGGCTCAGTTTCCTTAACTGTCACAGCCGGTGAAGTTGCAGGGGCTCAGGCCCCAAAACTGCCACAGCAGCTGGAGTTGCAAGCTCGACGGGGAAGAAACTGATAAACCCCAGGTGGTCGGAAAGTACGAAAATGCTATAAATACCGTGCAAAACCCAGGTGCTGCCAACAAGGGTTTAACGTTTCTAAAACCTGAAGCGCAACATCTTCTGAACATCAAAAACAAAGATGCCAGCTGTATTTGGGACGGGCTCGGCAACACCCTTACCGCCCAACCTCTGCGTAGGAGGGTTTGTTTTTGAAGTGGTGTGTGTGGTGTGTGCGCGCTTGAGTGTGTAAATATTGTTCAGGGTGTCCGCAAAACAGTGTCGTGATCATCCCCGAAGAAGCTTTCCCCCACCCAATTTCGAGTTTTTTTGCAAACAGTTCCAAAGAGCAAAGTTTAATACGCATAGTCGAGAAGTAGGGGCTCAGAATATGTAACAAAGTCTGACGTCACGAAAGTACCGTAAATACCGAATTGAACGGCTCTTGTGGTGATACTGCTGGGTGTGTTCGCGTAACACTGTCGTCATCATCCCCCCCACCCCCCCACCCACCCCCAGAAGCAAGTCCAAAATCAAGAGCCCGAGTTTGCAAACTCGACAAGTCGATTTTTGGGCCTCCTAGGATGATCGCACATGACGAAAGTGCCGTAAATACCGAGTAGAATTGATGTTGTCTTAACATGGTTGAGAGCAAGTGTAGTTGGTAGGGGGGGTTGCCTACTACTACTACTACTACTACTACTACGACGACTACTACGACTACTACCACTACCACTTTACAACCACCACCACTACTAGACCACCACCACCACCGCCGCCGCCGCCACCACCACCACCACCACCACCACCACCACCACCACCACCACCACCACCACCACCACCACCACCACCACCACCACCACCACCACCACCACCACCACCACCACCACCACCACCACCACCACCACCACCACCACCACCCCCGCCACCACCACTACCACGACTTCTGCTAGCACTACTCCTACTCCTTGTCCTGCTACCACTACTGCTGCTACTACTAGTCCTACTCGCACTCCCACTCCCACTGCTGCCAAATTGCATTGGCAGCGGCTTAGAAGATGCCACCACTTGTCCCGACTCCTCACTCCACGTGCCACGTTGACGCCAGTAATGGACACGGCCCTGGCAATTCGAGCTTTGGAACTTTGGCGCTTAGATCTGGCACTTGATGCTTGAGGGCTTGAGGGTCTTCACGCTTGTATGTTCCGAGTTCCCGCTGCAGTCATGTGCCGACATATCGGTTTGAGAAAGCTGTGCCCGGGGGGTGTTGAGAGTCCGAGGCAGAGCCATGATTGTTCAAGCTTTCTGGTTTCAGAGTTTCTGCAGGCAATGTCCGTGGCACAAACGTTCCGCTCTCCCATCAGCAATCGTGGTCGTGGTTCAAAGATCGAAACCGAGCCTCCCGCGGTGTATCAGCATGCATATATGTGTATGTATGTATGTATGTATGTTTGTATTATGTAGGTATACAGGTATGCATGTATAGATAGACAGACAGGGAGAGAGAGAGAGAGAGAGAGAGAGAGAGAGAGAGAGAGAGAGCTTGAGTGACTGCGTGATTTAGTGATATATATATATATATACACACATATATATATATATAGATATATACATATATAGATGTAAAGATAGGTACATAGCTAGCTCGCTTGCGGGCTGGCGGGGTGGCCAGCCGGCTAGCCAAAAAGATAGAGATGGAGAGATAGAGAGCGAGACAGAGGGAGAAAGCAAGCCAGCCAGCTCGCTGGCTGGCTGGATGGAAGGAGAGAGGGAGGGAGACAGAGAAAGAGAGATACCCTGTACATCCACAAACGCCCTCCCTAAAAGAACCGAGCCGCCAACCCTTCGTCATACGATGGCCTAAACTAGCTGATATGCGCAGTGTTACCTAGACTAGCAGCAATTACTACTATAGTGATGACCAAGGCAAGAATACTGACAAGAAAAAGACTGACAGTGGTAACTGTACCGATAATTGCAATACTAAACCGCTAACTAAACCGTCCTAAGCCCTAAACCAGAAACCCTGAACCCCAGAACATGTGCATTAATAGTTCGAATAGGATATTGGGGCCCATTATATCACTACATTTATAATGAATCCATAAACCCCTAAACCTAAACCTCCAGACCCTGAACCCCTAAACCCTAAACTCAGCCGGACCTGGCTGCAGGGTCCTCGAGGAAGAAGACGGCCGGGTCATCCGGGCGCCCGTTCAGCGCCCGACAGTCCGGCATCAGGCGGATGCCCATGGGCCCTTCCGTGTCGCATCATATAGTGGGTTTACGGTTTAGGGTATAATGTTCCATGATATACTATAGTATAGTATATTATTGCATAGTGTACTACAGTATACTATAGTATGCTATAACCTATCGATGTATTTGCTTGCATTGGGCGCTTGTTTGTTCGTACTTCTGTCTACACCTACCCATAGGTATACGTTTACTTGTAGACATATGCTTAAACTGCTTATCTATCCGTCTGTTTGTTTGCCGGCATTTCTGCAATTGAAGTTGAAACCTTAGGTCCCAGTGCAGGGCGTGTGCTCAGGTGCCCAGAAATAAAGAGGGTTTATACCCACTAAAATACATATATACTACAAATATACCATAATATACTATCATATACCACAATATACTATCAGATACCATAAAATACAAGAATATGCTAGAATATACTTTGGCTCTAGTCTCTGTCCCATCTGCTACTGCCCAATCCGGCTCCAGGCGCCCGCCTGTGACGAAGACGATAACCCTCCAAAACGCTAGATATCCCTCATGATAAATGATGATAACAAAACCAAAAGTAATTAAAATAAGTGTTGGGGATTTCGAGCCAATCCCGAATCCAAAGCACGCAAAACAAAACAAAAACAACTTCAGAACGGGGCCTGACACAGGGTTTCGGACTCAAGATGTAGGGGTGTGGGGCTCAGGACGCGGGATTTTGGTGTTGGTAAAAACTTAGCCGGGGCTTGAGGATACCAGGAGGGTTGACATCCAAGTTTTTTGTAATAAGCTACAATCTACGAAAAAATACTATGATAGACTATAAGGTACCATCATACTATACTATATTATATTTGTACTACGAATACATTATAATATGCGATAATAAACTATAAAATACTATACTGTACTAAAGACTACAATACAAGATACTCCAGCATCTCAATGCACAGTGACTTGGAGCCTTTGCCGCTCTCCCGCGACTCCAGGAATTTCTGGAAGCCGGCTACCTCAGGCGGTTTCAGGCTTGGTGGTTAGGGTTTAGGCTGTAATATAGGGGCCTTAACAATTAATTAGAATAGGGTACTGGGGCTTACTGGGGCCCACTACACTATAATTATGGTAAGGAGCCCCCACAACAGTCTTGGTAATTATTTAACCCCCTATAGTAGGGTGAGAGCTCCCTGATAGGTCCGAGAGCACTCTATGCAGGACAGGAAAAAGACTCGGTGCGGTGATGTCTCTGAGCTTGTCCTACGCTCAGGCTCTTCAATCGCTAACAATGCCGCACCACCTCGCACTGCCATATAGTATGTCATAGATAGTACCTTCTATACTGTATGTTAAAAAGAGTATACTGTCTATTATATATATAACATAACAATACTGTGTACATATAATGTACGAATATATAGCAATTGCTATACAGTCGACTATATTAACTGTCTTTATGAAATACATTCAGGCTCCGGGATGCGAGAGCTCCCGAGAAAAGCAGTCCAAGAGAATTGGCACAGACAACTTCCTCGAGTCATCGGGACCCTTAGGGGGGTAGGGGGGAGGGGGTGGGGGACTATACTTCCTTAAATGGGCCTAATGAGGTCCCTATGATTGAGGATAACTTGTAAACCTCTAGAAGAAGCCTGTATGGTAAAGCCTCCAAGACCCTTACACTAGCGACTCGAAACCTGACAACACAACCCTGAACTGCAAAGCCCAAATCTAGAAACCGCGAACTACGCCTTTCGGTCTGAACTTCGTTCAACCCAGGGTTTTTTGGGGGTTAGGGTTTATGGGGGTTTCGATTTTGGTGTTTCAACCCAGTGGCCATGTCGAAAAACTCCGCGAGCTCTTCGTGCGACACGCAGGACTCGCAAAGCTGCGCCGAGGGCGGCGAAGGCACGTCGCCGCCAGACGCGGTGAGCGCATTCTGTTCTAGCCGGTCCGTGACCACCTATCATGGAAACTGTTTGTTGCGTTTGGAGCTGTTCGTCTTGGAGGCTCTTTTCCGACTGTGGGAGAATTGGGGTGTTGGTGTCTAGGGATCAGGTTTCGGTGAGGCTAAAGGCTCAGCCTAAACCCAAGCTACTGCTGCTGTCCTTCTCGGGTTCCGGGGCTCTTTAGCCTGAAGCTGCAGTCGCTGAGAGACCTGGAACCAACTTTGGAGGGTCAGTGTATACCAGGGGTGTACACACGGATCTTGCACTCATCTTGACATAACCGTAGTAACCCATCAATGTGACTCGGGCCCGCAAAAGCTAAACCTCACCTACACTTCGTTTCCAAGGCGCCAGGAAGTACAGGCAAAGCAGAGTCCATGCCAGGGGCGACAGGTGACCCTCGAAGGACTTGTTGAGTTCCTGAACGGGGCACTTTCGGGGCGTCTGAGTTTTGGGGTCTAGGAGTTTAGGGGTTAGGATTTATAGAGCTTAGGAGTTAAGACTTATGCAGTTCCAGGGTTAGGATTTTTTGAGTTTAGGGTAGCTCCTGGGTTTGGGCCTCCGGCACGCGGTGACGGTCTCTTTAGCCTCTGTATTCACCACCATCAATGGACTGCCATGTAGTGAACGATCGCATGGCCATCTGACACCGACGGCCGTCGACATTTACGGCGCGCCGACCACCACCAAAATTACTTGTCTCACGACGACGCATGGTGCTAAGGCTACGGTGGCTGCTTGGGCAGCCGTTGCGACGGCATCTTCGCCTTGCTCTTGCTTCTGCTATCATCGCTTCCTGGAGCTTGCAAAATGACCTTGCTTGTTGGTTCTTTCGCCACTGAAGGTCTGAATAAGTAGTGATAAGATCTTCACATACTTGCGGTGCTGTACTATGCCTCAAAAGCCTATTCTGATTCTTGGGGCCTCTTCTGTGAAAACTAAGCCTGAAAGCCCTTCATACATTTTTGCAAGTCGTCCTCGATCTTGGCCCAGCGCTTCACCAGAAGCACAAGGCAAGCCGCCTGCCAGCAAGGAACGAATGCACAGTTGCGGTTTGGGGCTTGAGGGTGTAGAATAGCTTAGCGTTTGGGGTGTAAGCTTCGCGTATCGAGGAGGTAAACATGCGATATCCTTGGTTTACTAATGTGCAACGTTTTGCCGTCTAGCCCTCATTACCAACCTCCAACCCGAAGTCTCCGTGGTCGCTCCGATATACCGAACCTCCGCCTCTGCCCAACACAACAAACATAACTCATATGAGGGGGCGGGGTCGAGAGTCGAAATCCTTTGCACTAGTCTTCTCATAGGCAATGATGCAACATAATTACCCAACCCCTCTTCTATCTACGAAGGCCCTAAAACAATCATGAACTGGCAAAGCTCAATTGGGCCCTAAACTTCCTAAACCACACCCACCGTCCCCCCCAAGAAGGGTCGGCCTTGGGCGATCTGGACAGCGCCCCCTGGATGAGCCGATCCACGTGGCCCTTGCGCACCCCAGAGGAGTCCATGTCACCCACGCTGACATCCACCTTTAGGTTAGGGGGTACAGTTTAAGGTTTAGGGTTTAGGGCAGTTTAGGGTTTAGGGTTTAGGACAGGGCCTACAGTTTAGGGGCCCGCCCCTGTTGAAGAAAGGGGGACAGTGCAAGAAGACTCGCAAGTTCCAGGATTCCTAAGTGTTTTGCGTCGTGGTCTGTGGAAGAGTACCGCTGGGGACAAGTACTCACCATACTTAGACTAGGGTTTTGGGGCCCATTACACTACAATCAGAAGGAGCCCCAAAAATCGTATTTTGGGGCGCAGTATACTATAATGATCATAAGGAACCTCCAGAATCGTATTGGTAATCATCGTGTATCAGCTTTTCAGGAGCTCTTAAGGGAGCTTGGGAGCGAACCAGGAGTGCCTCTGCCATGTGGGTAGTTGTCAAAATTGTGGTCCCTTTTTGGGTAGCCTAAATAACAGGTGCCGTTTTATAGTAGGGACCGAAAAAGGCATAATTTTGAGCTTATCAAGACTTTAGGAGCTGGGAGTTTGCTCCTAAGTGTCGGGAAATTTGGGGTTTAGGGTTCGGTCCACAGCCAAACAGAACGAACCGACACCGAGCTGAAACATCCTGTATCGCGCCGACTCGCACCTGACCAGGGTTGAGGGTGAAGGGGTGCTTGTGGTGTAGGGTTTAGAGTCTAGAATTGAGGGTTCAGGATCTCCCCCCCCCGAGAAGCTCCCGAAGTCGAGAGTGCCTGAATGGGCGGGATCTTGTCGCCGGATGGTGTAGCTGGCGGAAGGAAGTCCAGAATCCTTGGGATCACGGATTCACCGTCTCACGGGGGTGGTAGGTGCTGAGGGTTAGAGATCCGAGTACAGGCCGTCCAAGCAGCCGCGAGTTGAGAAGTCAAGCGGTCTCAGGATTTGGCGAGTTTGGCTTTAGCTGGAGGCAGTGCGACACTTTCCGGCGTCACAGGATGTAGGGATGTCAGAAATATCTACATATATGTACATTCAAACTTCCTTACTAACTTATTGTTGATTTATTTATTTAGCTTCGTGTGCTATATACAGTATATACAGCATAGTGTAGCACAGTACACGGTTCACCCTAAACCCTAAGCCCTCCTAACCCCAAACCCCAAACCCTTCGTGAACCTTCGCCCTAAGCCCTAAACCCTACCTGCAGCCGGATATCACGATCGGCACACGCACGTGCCACTCCAGGCGAGTCTCCTTTTGGACTTCTCAAAGGAAGAGCCCTTAAATGATTCCGAAAATGGGGGACCATAATATAGTACCCAAAATATTAGGATCCTTATTGTAAGGACCCCAAAATACCCTAATTTTCTGAAATTCCTATAAGGCTTATTTACTGGAAGGTTTTTAATCTATTGGGTTTGGAATAAGCCTTATAATATCAAAACCCAAACCCTGAACCCTAAACCAGCGTAAGCCATGTTTTGAGGTATGCGCTCAAAGAAGAATGTCAGGTTCAAGGTTCCGGGCTTGAGCATCAGTGTCTGCCATGCTCAGACCTCCTCCCGAAAAAAACCGATACCTCCAAACTCCAAACCTAAAACAGCTAAGCTCTAAACCTTCTTAACCTCTGGTACAAAACCCGATACCCTCACTGAATCCCAAAGAATAAGGGTCAGGGCTGCCCGCTCGCGCAAAACAAAACCCTCAGAGCCGTCCTTCACCTGGAAGCTCTGCGGCAGTCCGTGCATCAGCCGTTCGAGTTGCGAAACCTGTACCTGCAGGTTTCGGGTTTTTGTAGGCGGGTAGAGGGTCTATAGGTTTAGGGCTGGTAATGTAAGGACCTAGACTGGAGTGGTAGATTGTAGAAATGGTGTAATCAGGATCCTTGGAAAATGAATATGGCAATTCTTCCGACCCCTTCTTGGGGCTCGGGGGTGTGGAGGCGGGGTTATGGTTAGAGGGCTTGGTCTGGCATCTTGGAATTCGTGCGCCTTTCCTTTGGTAATTAAGCTCAATTGAGCATAGCCAGTGCCGCAGGGCGGAGGAAAACAATCAACGCGACGCTGGCTTCCACAATACCCACGGTTTCATCCCGCCTTGTGAGTACCGGCTGCAAGTAATTCCCACATGTGGACACACTACAAAGCGAATCGGTTCTAATCGCGCCATAGCCGTGGAGCAGTGCTGCACGCCGAACACCATAATATATCGGAAAGTCGTCAAACACTGCACCCGGACTGGCCTTTCGTCATATACATGGGTTCACTCTAGAGTAGAAATGCTTGCATGAGTCCGACGTGAAAAACCAAGTCCCTCCTCTCTGCGAGTACAACTTGGTATCAGTAGCACACTGCTGTGATGTTGACATGCTGCGTACACTATCCGTGTCGCACGATCGCCCCTGCGCCCTTTAGAAAACGCAATCCGGGTCCACCTGCGAGCCAGGGAACACAAACCAAACAATAGGGCAACTAGGGCGTGCCCAAACCCTCAATGCTGACCCCGGCAGCTCGCCTAAGCATGAACCCCAATCTTGCACAACATCAAACACATCACAATCGCACGTCACAATCGCCCCACTGATGTGCTACGGCTTAGGGACTGGGACTTGGGAGTTGGGGTTCCTACAACAGTTCCCTGGAGGGGAGGGGTTTAGGGTTCCTGCGCCTTGTGCCAGAGGTCACGGTGACCCTGACTTTGCTTCCCCATGGCGGCCGTGGTGATGTAGAGATCCAGGTCGGAGCCTCTATGGGTCTTCAAAGGCTCGCTCGCTCTCTCTCTCTCTCTCTCTCTTTCTTTCTCCGGGCCTGAGGGCGAGCCCCCGCGGGAGCCGCCCGTTTGTTGGTTGAGTGCATGTGTATTACACGCAGAAATGCGAGCTCTCCTCGGCGACTCTTGGCATTATCCATGTAATGCCCCGAAGTAAGATCTCTCTCTCTCTCTCTGGCTCTCTGGCTCCCTCTCTCTCTCTCTCTCTCTTTCTTTCGCCAGGGCTAGGGTGTAGGGGTTTGACCCCCTACACCGCGCGCTTGTGCGCCCCCGACTGTTGCGGAGGTGGTTGGATGGCTATTAGCTGACCTCGGCTCTGACTGTGTAAAAAGGTCGAGCTCTACCCTCGGCAACTGCATTCGAAAAGGCTCTCTCTCTCTCTCTCTCTCTCTCTCTCTCTCTCTCTCTCTCTGGGTTCTACAAGTCCTCTTTAAAGGGGTTCTATAAGGATTCTACCAGGCACGCGGGCTCTGCAAAGGCTTTATCTATGGTTTACGGCTTGGGGCAGTTTAGACTCAGGGCTGCAGGAAGAACCCCCCTGCCTTCCAAGAAGGTGCCTTGGAGAAGCGAGCCAAACGGCTTCACCTGACCATGTGCTTTTGGGTTTAGGGTTCAATGTTTAGGGCTTGGGTTCAGGGCTTGGGCTAGAAGCCCCTTCGGCCCAAGTACAACAAACTGCATTCAACAAAACCCGCAAGCTTATACGATCACGACAGAAAGAAACACACTTCCCAGAAGGGCTCAGGGTGGTGGCTCCTCTGCTCGTTTGGAGCTACACTGCAACTGTTTAGGGGCTCTTTGGGGTCTCTTGGAGTTTGATTGGAGAAGGCCTCATCAGGGTTTCTACAGGCGTTTAGGAGTTAAGGGCTCCGGGATTTTCTGACGTCTTCTGCTTCGTTCTCCCCGTTACTCAAGAGCGCGAGCTGATCAGAGGTCAGCTTTGAGGAAGGCGTGAAGGAAGCCTTTAAAAAAGGAGTAAGCCTTTAACTTTGCACCTCCCAACTTTCGCTTGGCGACCTTGTGAATATCCTTCCTTTCTATATTTGGGGGTTTAGGGCTTCGGAACCCTGAGCCCGACTCCAATCTGTGCCATTCCCCGGCCAGAGTACTTCGACAACCGGGTCGTTAAACATTAAGGAACCGAACGCAACCTCGCACTAGACTGACACGGGACCTTAGATCGAAGAAGAAGGTCTCAAGTATAGTACGATTTAGGGACAAAGTAGCTGTGGCTATGTCTCTGGGGGATACGGAGAATATGACTACATAGAGACTCTGAGGATGTACTATTCCTAAGTCTCTTGAGTCTCTTGCCTCGGCATCCGAGGACAGACACCTGAGTGCCACCTCCTGGCCAAGGTGGCGTGGTTTGGTCGGCTTTGTCTGAGGATTCTGAGGACATTTCTTCCGGGCGTTGCAGCCCTCGCCGCAACTCCCAAAACCAAAAACTCACCCTGAAATGTCAAGCCGACTGCCAAGAAGGGTGGCGTAGGTTCGCGAGCGTTTTGGAGCCGGGCGGTGGAAGGGTTTCGGGTTACAGCTTAGCGTTTGTGGATTCAGCCTTGCAACCCCAAACCCTGAACCAAAAAAACCCGGAACCCTTCACGCAGTGGTCGGGCTTCGGGGGGAAGGCGCAACACCACGCCTGGACGAGTGCCAGGGCCTCCGTGAGCATGGCCTGAACCCAGGACAGGAGGATACAGGAGGAGAACCAAAAGACGAGTTACTCATACATGGTAAGAATAATAGTAGACAGTAGAATAACAAAAGCAGCTGAGCAATAGTTATAAGTTGATAACCGTAATAACATGATTTTCGTGTTATCTTGTTACAAATACCAGTAACATGACAGGCCTCTAGTCCAACCAGAAGCCTTTCATTGTGGTTTGGGACACAGGGATGGCTTTCAGAGTTTCTGGGTTTCGTGGAATGAGCTCTTGCTCCCGTGTGACTCGGGACCAAGACCTGAACTTGGTATGCTTCAGGTAGGGAACAAGGATGCCCTCGTTCCATGCAACTGGCATACGTTAAGCAGCTCTTGCCAACTCCCAAAATCTGAGAAGCCTAAGCCCAGCCTAAATAAACCCTTCACCCTTGCCGTAGATTGATACAGAACCCTGAAAACTGACCCACCTACGGAGACAAGTCGACATCATAGGTTTAAATATGGCCCTTTATACAAGTCATATACGGATATACCATTATACTATTGTAATTACATACTAGCATACTAATGCACTAATATACTAACCAGTCACACCCTCTCCCCCTTGCCAGCCTGGAAACTCGTGGAGGGTAGGAGCGTGGCCAAAGCCCTGTGGCTGCTTATCTTGCGCTTCAAAGGTTTTTTGGACTGAAGACTTACGGCCCAAAATCCTTAAAAATCGCCCTGCTTGAACTAAGGCCTTTGTTGAGGTGGGTTGGGGTCGCTGGGGGAAACCACTGCCCGGTACCTGGCCTTCAACATCAAGCCTGCAAGCCCATGCAAGCCCATTCTAAACATTGAAACGGCGTAATTAGGGTTTAGGTTCCCCGAGGAGAGTCGTAGAATCCTATGAACACCCTGCAAAAGCAGTTGAAAAACCTATTAAAGACGCATTGAAGCCCTTCGAAACCCCATGAAAGTCTACTAACCCCTATAACCGTGTAACCACTGTACTAACAGGTCCCCCAAAAAGTATTAAAGCATGCTACTCCACAGCCCTGCGTAAAACTGGATGAATCTGTCGGAGCGCCGCCCCAAGGGGCCCCTGCCGCTCGGAGCCGGCGGGGCCGATTCGGCGACGGCCTCCTGGGAGATGGGGACGATGCAGGGTTTCGGGGTTCAGTAATGTAGGGGTTTAGGAGTTTAGGATTTAGGGGCTTTAGGGTTTCCCAGGGTTTGGGGTCTAAGGGTTCGGGGTTAACGGTTTAAGGTTTTAGGGTTTAGGGTGAGGGGTGTCAGAAAATCAAGGGCCTTGACGGCTTGGTTTCGGGCTTGATTAGCTTTTTTGTGTTTGGTTGAGGGGTTAAGCTTTAGGATTTAGGCGTTCCGCAAATGTAGGTACCTTTTGTGTAAGCTAAAGTTGCTTATGACAAGGATCCTATCATTGCGGGTTCCATCTTACTGTCCGGTTCTCAGCATCGGGCTTTCGCAGCAATCACAGGGGTCTGAAACTTGAACGTAGCGAACCCCTAAACCCAATACCGGGCGGTTCAAATCGGAGCCCATGTCCTTCACGGTGGCATTCGCTGGCACTGGAATCACAGTCTCAGAGTTGGCGGGCGTCGCAGAGCTGTCGCCGTAGTCAGGGCCACTGGCACTGGCCTGCCTCCACGTTGTTTGTCTTTGTTTTCTGTGGGCCTTTTTGTGCGTTTGTGGCAGTTTTGAGTTTGGGTTAAGAAGTAGATAATAGTAGGGTATTTGGGGGGGTAGGTGAAGGGATTCGGAAGCATTTGGGGACTCTGGGGCGCTGGGGCCAGGGATGCTTTGGGAGTTCCATGGGTTTTGCGGCCTTCCAACTGATATGGCCCACACCCCGAATTCCAAACTGTGCCCAAACCCAGACCCCAAACCATAAACCACCCTAGCCTAAAAAAAACTTGCTGAAGGGGCAAGACGCAAGGAGGCCACAGCATCGACCGGAGCAGCGTCCTTACAGGTAGAAATAGGGTTCAAGGGCTTTGGGTTTAGGGTGCAAAGCCAAGGGTTTAGGCTTTCGGATTAATTGAAGCCAGGGTGCAGGGTTCAAGATGTCTAAGGTACCTTTTCCGGGGTCCATATCCGTATACAGATATTATATATATATATATATATATATATATATATATGTGTATGTATATGTATATGTATGTATATGTATATGTATATGTATATGTATATGTATATGTATATGTATTTGTATATATATATATACATATATATATATATGCTTATATGCTTATATGCTTATATGCTTTTATATATCTATATATATATATATATATGTATGTATATACATATATATATACATATATATATAGATAGATAGATAGATTACATGTATGTGTGCATAAATATGTACATACATATGTATGAGCGAACTAGAAGGAATCTGGAGCCTCATCACAAAACTCCCTCACAGAAGCTTCTCTAACTCCTGCGCCCTCGTCCTTGGATCAAAAACACGCCCTCAAGGGTAGCAGAGCAAATGAAAACGGTACAAATGTAGAACTCCAATTTGCCCCGTGGTCATAGACTCCTAGCATAACCCCATAGAGCATCCCCTACCTGCACCATCCCTGAACCCTAAACCCCAAACCCTAAACCCTAAACTCCAAACCCTAAATTTCACAAAACGCCAAACCCTAAATCCTAAACCCTAAACTCCAAACCCTAAACATCCCTAAACTTTCTAAAACCCCAAACCCTAAATCCTAAACCCCAAACCCTAAAAACCCGCAGTCCTCCCCAGGATTCGTGAGATCCACTGTCGCCGTAGGCCTCCGCTTGGGTTTGGCCTTCGGCTTCCTCTTGGGCCGAACCTGGGACTTTAGGGTTTAGGGGTCTGGGGGTCTAGGGGTTTAAGGATTTAGGGGGTCTAGGGGTTGAGGGTTGAGGGTTGAGGGTTTAGAGTTTAGGGGTTCAGGGGTTTCAGTGGTTTAGGGTAAGCCGGGCCCAGAGTTTCCCAAACTCTTCCGGGGGGCTTAGGGCGTTGGGCTTGTGGGTTTAGGGCTTAGGGTTTAGTGACGATTGGGATTGTTTAGGGCAAAGTTTAGGGTATGTTTATAGGGCTAGGCTGACGGGTGAACTGATAGTTCCAAAACAACGATCGGAAGGATCTCAAAGATGCAAAAACCCTCGGCTTCCCGTAAGCCTCAGCCCTATGCAGCAAGACCCCGAAGCCCCTAAACCCTACGAATCTGAAAACAAAGACGTAAGATAGGGGCCTTAGTACTTACAGTAGAATAGGGTTTTGGGGCCCATTCTACTATATCTATAATAAGGACCCCCCAAGATAGGGCCCTTTTGTAGTAGTAGTAGTAGTAGTAGTAGTAGTAGTAGTAGTAGTAGTAGTAGTAGTAGTGGAAGTAGAAGTAGAAGTAGAAGTAGAAGTAGTAGTAGTAGTAGTAGTAGTAGTAGTAGCAGTAGCAGTAGCAGTAGCAGTAGCAGTAGCAGTAGCAGTAGCAGTAGCAGTAGTCGTCGTAGTAGTAGTAGTAGAAGAAGTAGTAGTAGTAGTAGTAGTAGTAGTAGTAGTAGTAGTAGTTCGAGGCCTGCTTCTTCGTCTGGGTCCTGGCGGTGGCCGCCTTTGCAGCTGGGGACTCTTCGACGCGTGGCTCCTCTGCCTGGGGCGGGTTCTAGGTGACGGAAGCGCGCTAAGCTTCGCCCCAAGATTCAAGAGGCATCCAGGGTTTATAGTAGAGCATCTAGGCTTTCTGGGTTTAGTTTTGGGGGTTTCGAGTTTCGGGGCTTCGACTTAGTAAGGGTCTCTCTGTCGGGCTGAAGCTGATGCGGCGCAAGGCCTGCTGGGCACAAGGAATGCCCAGTGCCCTGAGCTGGAGGAATATAGCCTAAACATGCCTAAACCCTTTGAGAGTTTAGGGTCAGGATCTTAGTGTTTTAGGGCTTAAGATCATCGGATATGGGGTTGAGGATTCCAGGATTCGCGGCAATCCCTGAAGGCCTGTGGTAGAGGCAAGGCCGCAGAAAATCGGGAAGCCCACCACCTTTTCTGCCAAGCGGCGTCGCTGTTTATCCGAACACAGTCCGGCGCCGGCGGCTCCTGACTATCGGAGCTGGGGAAGTGGGCTATCAGGATACTCACACATACTATGACAGAATAACATACTGCACTATATTGTAATATATTCTATCTAAGGTAGACTGACTAGAAAAGATTAGACCAGACTAGACTAAACTTATGTAATATAGGCTGTAACTAGAGGGCCGATGGTCCGAACTCCGACCCCTCAGGCTTCGACAGCCTCCACCGACATGCCTAGGCCGTATGACTTGGGGTTTCCTAAGGGGGGAAGACAGTGATACATGTTTATGGTTCAGGGTTCATGGTTTACGGATACATCTTTGGGGCTCAGGGCTTAGGTGAAGCCCAGACGGGTTGGAAAAGCTGTCACTTTGCTTGGGTAGGGCCTCGGCCTCCGGCAAGGAAGCCATATAGGGATCATCTTGGGCAACCAAGATGATCTCCTCCTGTTCAGTGAGATGCTCTTCACTCCAAGATGACGAGCGCCTCTCTCTCTTCTCTCCGGCCCCCGGGTGAGTCGAGGCTGCACTCCCGGCACTGCAAGCTGAGCCCTCCTGGCTTCCCTGTTCTAAGAGTGCAGGCATTAACAAGTAAGTAGGGTCTCGTCATCCCCCCCCGCCTCCGATCCGTAAGGGTCCTCCACGGCGCAGGCCATGGCGTCGCGACCATGAGCCAGGAAAGTGGAGGAAGGCTCCGGATTTCTGGAGTTAGTCGGGGTAGGGCTAGGGTGGGGGGGTGAAAGCCCCGAAAAAACTGGGCTCTCAAAGTTTCAGGGTTGCTTCGGGCCTTCTCTTTCGGGGAAGCTGAGAGCTTGATAATGTCAGCTGCAGCATGCTTAGCTTCGGATTGGGCGAGCCGAAACTCTTCACACCGGTCATGAGATATGCCTAGGGTTTAGGATTTCATTACCTGAGGGGTTTAGAGCAAACACCCTACACTCTAGACTCAATGAGGGCATGACTACCTTGCGCTTCCTTTTGCTCATGTCAAGGCCGCGATGGGCCGCGGGCTCAGAGCCCCGTGGCTGCGGTAGTTTGGGGTTCCACCCTTCCCTCGCAGCACGCTGACTGATATCTGTTCATGTACGAGCCGATGGACTAAATATGGATCCTGTCATGATGTGGATTTACAGACTGAGGGAGCGATAGAGCATGCAACACACCAGCACGTACGAGACAACACGGAAACCTCGCAAAGCCCTTCCTGAAGCTCTTGCCGCCTCCTGGCATAAAGGCCTTGTATAGTAAGGATTTTCATGGATTTCCTACATGGCAAGAGGCCCGTGCCATTTTCCTCCTCTTCCCCGAAAAAATGAAGCCTTCCGCTCCGAAACATCTCAGACAAGCCAGATCAGCGTTCAAAGGCATCAGAGGTCCGATTCCGAACCCTACAATCGAGAAGCCTCAGGAAAACGACACCAACCAAACACCTCTGGAATCTGGAAACGAATCGAAATCAAGACAAGGCCTTAAGCCGTAAGCCCTTCTGACGGCTGGGCTCGAAGAAGTCCTCCTCCGTGATGTGGCCTGGTGCCAGCCGGCCAAAAGGAGCCTCGGCGATGTTCAAAAGCACTAGGGAGAGCGAGAAAACGCAACCTCTTGACATTCTAAAGCTCCTGCAATGATAGAACGGCTAATTAGCTGCTAATAAATAGCAAGCCTGATCACGACAGCAATAGTTGTCGCACTGGTAAGAACGAAAAATACCGTAGTATACCCGAAAACCGTAAGAGTCCTGCCCGGTGCTGCAGGCCAGACCAGCAGACCTTGGGCGCTAGAGATGCATGCGGAGGTTACGAAAGGCAGGAAGACGAGGAGTAAGTATTAATCACATTGATTGCTATGGTTGCAGTCGTGGTCCTGGCGGCGGCGACGATAAAAGCAGAACGAAGCAACAAGCTGTATCACCACCTCTGGCAAAGCAGCAACCCCAAATCCGCAGGATAGCTTCACCAACAGAACAAAGATGAAGAACAATCCATAATCAAAGAATCAAAGGCAACAGTGCGACAACTTCACGGCTTGCTACGGCGGTGTTTCGCTCATCCGGCCTCACTGCGCGTGGATCGTGGGGAGCTTGCCGGGCAACTGGAACACCTCAGGTGAGGGAGCTTAGGCTTTAGGGCCTTTAGGGTTTAGGAGCTGATCATTCATGTGGTCAAACGGCTAAACACGACCAATGAATGCCGACTCTGCCCGATCCCTTTAGTAGTTTCCTGCAGCAGTATCAAGCTTAAACCTCATACCACTTGTGTGCCAGAAGCTTCCATGCGGGCCTCGGAGGGCAGCTTCACGTTCCGCCACCGGGGCGCTCAGTAATGGAAACATGGCTAGAGTAGAGGGACACACACACACACACAGACAGACAGACAAATGCGGGCTTATGGGTCTAAACGAGCAGAAGGTTCGAGCGAGGGGTGTTAGGGCAACACGCGGCAGTTTATCTAATGCTTCGAGCTTTGCTAACCGAGGACGGAAACTCCAACTACACAACCTGCTGGTACTGCAAGCTACTGCGTCATGAGAGTCATGAGGTATGGCATGGGAGTCTCGTCGAGTACGGCAGTTGGCCGCCTTTGCAATCTTGTTTCTAGTACTTCGGGCCCGCCGACAGAGAAGCTGCGTGTGCACAGGGTCCAAGGAACTCTCTATCGATGCATGGCCCAGAAACTGCATGGCTCGCAGGGTCAGACAATCGACTCCGCAGTGCTCATCGGTGCTCATCGACGGGGAGCACGGCACGACGCGGCAGCTCAGTCAGAGAAAGATGCGCACGACACGGTTGGAATGCTTCTGGGTCCTTTTCTCCTGCCAGGCCCTTGTGCACGAACGCACTGGGGGGAGTAGAGGCTCTTGTCCTTGACCTTCATGACGGCGGTCCGACCACCTCGTTCTAGACTCTCGCTGTAGTGGTTTATGCTTGTTGGTGGCTCAGAGGGAAACTTTGGGGCGGCGGGGCTCGGCAGAGCTCGTAGATGCAGCAGGTGCGCACGCGAGACTGCAAGATGAACAGAGACGGGGCTCCTGAAGTCCGAAAGTCATCGCATGTGATAGCAGGACTGCTGTACGTGAACAGACTGTCATAGTACATCATCCTATGTTGTATGATCGTGTATGCTGTGGGTTTCGGTTTCTCTTATTTGAGACTCTAGAGGGAAGGAGCCAAGAGCCACACATCTCGGCTTCTGCGGCTGGAGCACGGCGTGGCTTCCAGTAGGATCCTGCGGGGAGTGACTTTTCCATCCACATGTTCGGAAGGCCGCTTGCCTCCCGCAGCCTCAAGGTCGCGAACTTCGTGTCTTTTGGGCGACTGGAGATCAAAGCCTCGGAAGTCTGCACATCTCAGCAAAAAACCGGTGGATTTCTGGACATCCTCGCAAAACCCTCTCGGCCCAGGCTCCCGACTCTGTCAGCGGCGCCTCCCGGACGCAAAAGGAGCCGATGGCACATCATGGCACACCATGGGCCACATTACGGCATCTACTAATCTACTAGTACTGTTCCGAAACGGTTCCTCGTCGTCGGAGTCCAGAAGGTCCAAGACCTCTGAATCCGACCGAGCACCCCTTTGCAACTTGCAACATGGAAAAGAAGGCGTCCCACCGGCACGCCCTCGGCCGTCCTCTGCGTGTGGTCCTGCGCGTAAGAATGTGCGACCCCCCGTGACACAGCGGCCTTCTCCCCTCTTTTGCTGCGCATTGGCTCTTGGAGACAGACTTCAGCAGCAGCTGCAGTCGGTGAGAAGCTTAACATCAGTCTCCCACTTCGAGGCGGACTTCGCATAAAGCCGCAGCTGCTGGCGTACCGCCGCGTAGGTTCGCAAGGGGTCATCATCAGCAAGCCAGAGCAGCCTCAACCGCCAGATCACTGGCTGTTTGGGAAAGTCCTCGTCCATCAGCAGTTCGACAAGAAGGGACACCCACCTCTGACGCTGAGGCTTGCTCAGCACCCGCAGTACAAGCCCAAGAATCGTGCCACAAAAAAGTAGTTTGTCCTTGTTGACGGAAATGCTGGACTCCACAAGTTCTTCCGTCATGCCGAGCATGGTTTCTGCAATAGGTCCCTGCACAAAAGGGAGGGCCTCAACAGCATGGTTCATTACAAGGAGCATGGCAGCATCAGCAACGGCCACATCCGAACTCCGGCAGTGCCGAAGCAGACTTCGGAGGTTCTTGCGAACAATGCGCTTAGCGTGGCTTTCTGCGAAATTGGTTTTTCTCTTGGATGCCAAGGCCGTAGACCACCACCGACCTCAGAATGAAGCAGATGCGTCTAAGGTCTCCACCTGCACTGCCAGTAAGACGGAGGTGCTGGCTGCATGTGGCTGTGAACCATGTTCAATAAGTCAAGAGGCACTCGTACATCTTCTGCTGCTCCGCATCGCCCTGGAAGACATCGGCGAAGAGTGTATCCGGGTTACTTCCGACCAGATCCATCTGCTGCACGAAAGCGACAATCTGTTCTGGCCTGCACAAGTGTACAGCGTCACTCCGTGACTGATAAAACTGCCTAGCTCCGTGACTTGCTTGATTCAACATGCCGGTGCCATGAAGGTGGGAATGATACGACCTCCTGTGCATGACTGTGGGTCTGAAAACATGTCCATGTGCTGCATGTGCTTCATTGATCTGCATTGCGCAGCAGCAGCAGCAGCAGCAGCAGCAGCAGCAGCAGCAGCAGCAACAGCAGCAGCAGCAGCAGCAGCAGCAGCAGCAGCAGCAAAGGCATGACGAACACCTTGTTGCTTTTAGTATGGTAGACAGGACGATCGATCGACGGGTCTTCAAAAATCATGCACCATCCGTCCTTCCGTTTTTGCTGAAAGAACGGGAATTCAGCAAATCCGAGTGTGACGTGCAATTATCGCAACATGCAAGAAGGATGTCGACAAACCGCTCGATGTTGACGCTACTTCGCAAAACCGTTTCCGAGCCTGTCCATGCTGCCCACCTCAGCCACGTGCGCTGTCAAGGCCTGCGTGGCACGTTTATCGTCTTCAAACACAGGTCTCCAAGAAAGGAGCACGCAGAGGGAGGCGTCGGACCGCAGGCCTTGGGGCTCCGCGTAAGCCGCGAGAGTACGCGCCAGTTGCGCAGCTCCTGCACCTGTAGCGGGCAGAGATGCACAAAGGATCCGCCGACAACACCTCTTGCAACGTCTTGTCGACACCCCTGCACTGGCCACTTCGCAGCCAAGCCGCGCTCAAGAACGGCAACAGATTTGTCCTGAGGCTTCTGCGGACGAGATCTTGCAGAGAATGTCTGCGAATCCGCCGAAAGCAACCGAAAGTCGATGCAAGCACGCAGTATCACGCAGTTCACATGCGGCCCAGGCACATAAGGAGGTCGTGAGGGGCGAATTCCTCCCCGGACCACTCTTCGTCGATGTCTGAATCGCTGCTGTTGCCGTCGGGCAGTCTCGTGCTGGCTTCACTGTCGCCGCCGCTGCTTTTTCTGCCCGGGCGGGTCCTCGGCTCGCCGACACCAGAATCACTAGAAGACAAAGTGATGAGCGTCCGCAAGGCAGGTGCTGCCAGCACAGCTCAGTGGCTCAGTGTCCGACTGAGGGTTCGGTTCCTGGCTCCTCGGCAGCAGAGTGCTGCGAGCATCCCTCAGAAAAGCTGGAAAGAAGGATTGCGGCCCAAGGCGCTCTGTGGTGCCCGCACGGGGTGTCGATGCAGCGACGGGGCAGCCCTCATGCCTGTGGAAGCTTTCTTCAGCACGGCCCTGAGAAGTTCGAGGTGCCATGAGGTGCCCACTGCAAGCGAGGCACAGATCGCCGCTGTCTGCGCTCTGCTCTTGAGGGATCGAAAGCCACAACGATGGCTCCTACGATGCTGTGCAGAAGTTAGCGCTCATCGCCCGCGCTGAAACAACGAAGCTACAGGTCCTACAGGTAGCTGCTCTTCCACCGGGGGCTATCCTGAATGACAAACCCAACCTGCGAACCTTCAGGTGGCACTGCTCTGGAAGCAACTCCATGTCACAAGCCGGTCTGTGTGTCCTGGGCAGCACAGTTCTCTGCCAGGGGCCGCTCTGAATTGAAATGCCTGGGCTGATGAGGCTGGCGAAGCGGTGGAGGCAGGGGTGGGGGAGGGCCAGCTGTCGGCATAGTGGAGTAGGACGAAGAGCAGTGAGTCTACAAGCCATATATATATATATATATATATATATATATATATATATATTTGTATATATATTTATATATATAATATGAATATAGATAGATGATAGATAGATAGATACTTGTCGTTTGCTCTCAAGTCCCCGCTGAGTGTATTGCCTGGGAACACCCACGCGGACGAGTCGAAAAAACGAAGCATTGCTGCCCAAGGATCCCTGCAGTACCACAAGGCAGGAAGAGCGGAGCATCAATTGCGGGTTCGCCATCCTTTACCACCACGGTCTCCTGGCTTGAACAGGTCGGCCCTTTTGGCAAAGTTCCATCATGTTCCATGGTTGCCCGGTTGCCCATGTTGAATCAATGATTCAAACTCCCAGACTGACAAGCATTGACCTCATTTGCCTGGGAGAAAACACTGCATGCTCCCCAAAGTCTGGCCTGGGCAGCACAGTTCTCTGCCAGGGGCCGCTCCGCGTTGCAGTGCCTGGGCTCGTGCTAGTGCTGCAGGTGCCTGCTGGCCAACATGCCAGTGCAGTTGGCAAGCATGGGGGATGTCGTGCAGCCGGCATACTGAGTCTCGTGGAGACTCAGTATCTGCCTGATCTGGCACGACATCTTCCGTGATTCAAATTCAGCTCTCCCTTTGCGCTTGGGGGTGAGGTTCCGCATGATAGACAGGCGAGCGAGCTGCCGGGATGAATCATCCTGGGCCACATCCAACTGCTCCGAGAGTTCCTCGACGAGCTTCCGCACGAAGACGAGGTGAACGCTGTCGGGCCAGTTCCTCGGACAGAGCCGTCAGAGCCGAGCCTTGCAGAGTACCGCTCATGTTGTGCGCCAAGACACTCCCACGTCTCCAGCTGCTGCCGGACCCAGCGGCGATGGCGTGTCATCGGCGGCGGCATATTTAGCTTAGAGACATGAGATATGCTTTGTTACGGTTGCATTTGGTCGTACGCCTCCTCGTCCTTCATTGCTGCGCTGCAGTCTCTCTCGGTTGACAGGACATCTGCAGAAGTAGTCAGTCTCAGGCGAGTGCACTGCACGAACGTGTGCAGAAGTGCGAGGCTGAACCAGAGCAACAATGTCAAACGACTGGGCGTACATAGCCCGGGACCTATACTACGACTTAAATTGTCCCGACACTACCGCCACAAACCACTGCTAAACCATTCAGGAGCCGCTGAAGTTGTGGCAACCCGATGGTACGACCGACGTCATGCGGCCGGCAAACCCAAATATACCGAAAGGGCGTGCGTGCTTTCTGCTTTGGGCACTCAATGACACCGTGGGCACCTCACAGTTCATGAAGACGTCCATCGGGATGGCCTGAGGCGCTCACGACTGCTCCGATTCCCAAAACTCAGCTGGACGCGTCACCAGGAGCCTCGTTGTACAGGTCGTAGCCGGGAGCTGTGGTGTCCTCAGCCTCGCACAACGGCGAGCCCGAGTGCTCTACACCAGCGATTTGGCGAGGCCTTCTGAGGCGAGAGACTGAAAGCTGGTCGCGGCGTGAGGCAAGCCCGCGAACCCACATGGAAGCGCAACCCGAGCAATCCTGAGCCAAATCGCAGATGAGCTGCCTTCTTGCCTTTCTTCTTCTTGCTCTTCGCTGCCTCACTGAGATGCGTGACGAAACTAAGGCTGACATATCGCCATGAGGTTGTTGCGAGTCTCTGGCTACCATGTGTGGTCACTGTCACCGCAAGCTCCCGTAGCTGCACAACATTGCACAACACCCACTGTCCCAGCCCCAGGAACAAAACCACGCTGGACACTGCCTGCCCAACTCACAACACCAGCCGACACTCTTCGAACCGGTGGTTCCACTCGCCACAAGCATCTGTGCTCGTTGGCCTCAAGGGAGGGCCCCGCCGGTGCGTCACCTGAAGACAGCAGCGCGCTCAGCTTGCGTAGGATGGCTGGTGAGTGTGCAGGATGCTGATGCCCCCGTGTCCTTTGTGAAGCAGCTTGCGAAGCTCTATTTTGGAAGATGCCCATGCAGCCGGCAGCACCGTCGTCCGACATGTTTCAGGAAGATTGGGATTTCGGAGCACCGCCGTTGCTGAAGCATCGCGGCTCCCGTGATACTTGCATCTACCACGCTTCAAGACGAAATAAACGCCTGCTCAAAATCTGGCAAGCGCCGGGTCCGAAAACTTCTCCAAAAACCCTGCAGCCTCAAATCTTGCACCCCTGCACTCTCTTCTCCGATGCCCCCTACCCAGCACTGCATCTTCTGAACGCCCAAGGAGACAAACCAAAAGTCCACGGCCTCCCGAGGCAAAGGGTGGCGGAGCCGGTTCTGTGGAGGGCCTCGGACCAAGTCTCTAGGGCGCGGGGCGGGGTGGGGCGGGGCGGGGCGGGGCGGAGCGGCAAAAGCTGGGGCTTAAGGCTTGTACATGCTTTGTAAAGCCCCTTTTTTCCGTCTAGCACGCCTGGCATCGGACCGAATCGCTGCTAATATGGGGACCTTCATAGTCAGAATAAGGCCTGAAGGTGTATTATGGTATTCTTTCATTAACGACCCTGGGGAAGAGGCTAAGCAATTATTCGGTTCATTACAGATTGTTCAAACGCGTATAATGGGCTTTGACAGGTTATGGTATTTCTGTCGTCTCTTATAGTTCTGGTATACTAGAGTCTCTTCTAGTTAATAGACATGTTGTAATCTCCTATAGTCCTGATATAACATAGTCGTTGGTAATATTACGTATAGTCTCTTAGAGGGTCATTAGACTACGAAGCCCAGGGTCGGCTCTCAGCTCACGGCCGGAAGCGCTCGATTACTTGGCCTGGGCTGTCTGTCGCTGGGAGGACTCTCGAGTCTGTAGGGTTTAAGGTTTAGGGCGGTAGGGCTTATAGCCGAGACGGAGAATAACAGTATTTTGTTGCAAGATACCGATAACTAGATCTCGCCATCTCTTCTATATATCTAGTGCAAACTGCCATATCACAGTCATGTGAGCCTTGCTTTGCTTGGGAACTACGCACATCGAGACTGCAGATGACGTTGCAAAGTCATCTCCGCGGACCGCAGCACATGCGAGAAGCACCTAGCAAAGCCCTTGACGCAATTGCCACTATGCTTAAGCCGCGAGCGCGCCGCTTCTCGAGATGCGGGACCTCAACAGTGGACAATCGGATGCCTACACGTCTGGGATGGAAAGTTTGCGCTGTGAGGCGAGCCATTCCAGTACAAACCACGGCCAGCTGGAGGCTTAACACCCTAAAAACCCCATCACACCGATGTTGTTCTACTCAGGGCCGCTCCCCAGCTACTTCCTCAGATCACTACATTACTGTCAGACGACCTCCCTGAGCAACACACCAGGCAAAAGGAACTTCAAATGTTCTCGTCTCGTCCCGGAAGGCTTTAAGCAAAGCCCTACTCCAGCTGAAAGCTTTGAGCTTGGGGGCGCGGTACGATCGTTCCATGGGGCTCTTTAACATATCTGTACCAAAGTACCCCAAAACTCAACTCCAATTTGTAGCTCATCATTAAGCGGGGCATTCACCATAACCCTCCTTGGCAGCCCTCTCTAAAACTCAAAACCCTAAACCCGTATGGCTGGGTGCAGGTCCCAGCGGCCCGGCTTCGCCAGCAGGGGCCCCACTAGGTGCAGAAGCGGCGGCGACGACCCGATCCAGACCTGGCACTTGAAGGGCTGTAAGCTTGAGGGTTTAGGGCTGAAGGTTCACTGAGTTTTTATCAGGGCTTGTTAGGGTTCAGGGTGTAGCGATAGAAGCTGATAGATGTTTACGGTTTACAAAAATAAGAGCTACGGAAAGGGTTTTGCCCTGGTGGGCAGTCTTCAGCACAGGTAGGCGTGCGGACTCAAAACGTCTCTACTTCCCCGCAAACAAACCGCTTCCAACTTCCAACCCGCCTGCAAGCGCTCCTGCTGGATCTCCGGGGGCTCAGTTGCCTGCTGCACTTTCGGCTCTGGAGGTTCAGACTATTGCTGGGTGTTGCAGGTTTGGGATTTTGTGAGGGGCGGGGGGGGGGGGGGGAATTTCTGAGCTATTTTGGTAAACTTGCGGTGGCCACAGACGGAGCGTAGAAGCAAGCATGCTCGGCCTCTTCTCCCTCGGCTCCATCCGTCAGCAGCGGCCTCAATAGATAGAAAGCACACCCGGGACAGCTGATTGAGCACCATGCGGTGGCCCCGTAGTAAATTCGAGCACGGTCTGTGGCTATATTGCAGTTTGCTGCAAAGGGATATTCTGGAAAGTCGGAAAGCAGTTTACGGCTTCGGCCTAAGCTCCGTGCGGCGGCGGAGGCGAGCACAGCAGCAGGTCCACCAGGCCCGCCAAAAACCAGGCGTGCGCTTTGGGGGCCTTGGGACTACTTTGGACATCGAGGGGATGTCGCTCGTGTCAAAAAGCATGAACCAAGATGGTTACGATGTCAAGCACATGCCAAGAGGTAGAGTAACAAGCGGCATGCGAGCCAAACCAATCTCTGAAGCACATTTGCTGAAAATCTCACACGACCAGATGCGGGCCAAAGGTTACATTGGGGCAAAACGCTTGCTTTGTGCTGCTTTGTGCCGCTCCCGCATGTCAAACTTGTGACCCAAATTCGGGCCCAAGGTTTGTCTAGCCCCACCATGCCAACCCTTCAACCTCACATTGGGGCAAAACGCTTGTTTTGCGCTCCCGCTTGTCAAACTTGGAACCCAAATTCGGGCCAAAGGTATGTCTATAGCCCCACCATGCAACCTTACATTGATTCAAAACGCTTGTTTTGCGCTCCCGCATGTCAAACTTCAAACCCAAATTCGGGCCAAAGGTTTGTCTAGCCCCACCATGCCAAGCCTTCAACCTTACATTGGGGCAGAACGCTTGTTGTGCGCTCCTGCATGTCAATCTTGAAACTCAAATTCGGGCCAAAGGTTTGTCTAGCCCCACGATGCCACAAGCCTGCAACCTTACACTGAGGCAAAACGCGTGTTTTGCGCTCCCACATGTCAAACCTGAAACCCAAATTCGGGCCAAAGGTTTGTCTAGCCCCAGCCTTCAACCTTATACCTTGAGCAAAACGCTTGTTTTGCGCTCCCGCATGTCAAACTTGAAACCCAAATTCGGGCCCAAGGTTTGTCTCGCCCCCACCATGCCAAGCCTTCAACCTTACATTTGGGCAAGACGCTTGTGTCAAACTTGAAACGCGAATTCGGGCCAAAGGTTTGTCTAGCCCCACCATGCCAAGCCTTCAGCCCTACATTGGGCAAAACGCTTGTTTTGCGCTCCCGCATGTCAAAGTTGAAACCCAAATTCGGGCCAAAGGTTCGTCTAGCCCCACCGCCCCACCATGCCAAGCCTTCAACCTTACACCAAAGGTCACCATGCCAAGCCTTCAACCTGACATTGGGGCAAAACGCTTGTTCTGCACTCCTGCATGTCAAACTTGAAACCCATATTCGGTCCGAAGGCTTGTCTGTAGCCTGAGCATGCCAAACTTGAAACCCCGATTCGAGACAAAGGTTTGCTTACAGCTCCAACACGGCAAACTTTAAATCCAATATTCGGGCACGAGGTTTGCTTAGAGCACTGTCAGAGCCCCAGCATGCCAAAATTGAAAACCAGATTCGGTCCGAACTGATCCTCAAACGATGCTTGGAGGTCATGCTCGGAACGCTACGGCCCTACAGCCCCACCATACGAAGAGTACCCTTGTGAGGGTGCACATCATCCCAGCATGAACCTGTCCCACTCGTTGAGGACTTGCTAGGATCGGCTCCGTCTCCTTCGAGGAAGCCTTTGCACGGGGGCAAGGCCCAGGCCATTGCAAGTTGCTCCGAGCACCTCTACACACAAAAGCTCTCCCACTCTGTGCTCTGCGCAGGACACCAAAACAGACAGGTAAAACGGCGCACTCACACACCAAGAGCCTCTCACAACATCCCGCAGTCCCGCACATAAGCCCTAAGCCTAAACCTCCCCGCTGGACCCACTGCAGCAGCCTTGGAGGCGGACATGAGGTGCCGGAGCAGCGCGGATGCCTTCATGCAATGCAATGTGCCCCCCAACTCCAGCGCCTCCACAACAAGCCCTCCGTGTCAGAAGATACCCCCGTCACGTAACGTCAGATCCAACAGGCATGGGTGCCTTGGCCGTGGAACCCGTCCACCTGCCCAGGAAGTCGTCTGGGCAGGCCGGGCACCAGAGTACCGAGCCCGCCTGGCAGAAGCTGGTTCCAAAGCGCTTTTGGCTGAGGCTTGAGACACAGTAGGATGCTCCGATTCTAGTCCACGAAGCGTCTTCGGGCCCTGGGTTGGATTTACGGCACTTCCGCTCTCATCTTTAGAATTAAGGATTCTCCCTGGGCGCATGGGCAGCATTCCGGAACAGGCTAAGGCTAAGTCCACCAACACCTTGGTCCGAATATTGTCACGAGCTTTGGAAGTCTGCACGAGCCACGTGCATGGTGCACAGTCCTCACCTCACTACCACTACCAGTCATCTTCACTGAATTACCACCATCATCAAAACTTAATGGAAGCAAGCAGTGTCGGCAGCACGCCAGGCATGCAGCTGATGGCATTCACCGCGGCCTTTGCGGAGCATGCATTTGGATCGCAGGAAAGATCATGACGACCTCCCTGACGAACATCGGTGCCCAGCTACATCTGAAGACTTATAGCTCCTCTGGAAGATGTCTTGAGTAGCTGTCCGTCTACACCATGCTCGCACAATCCTGGCTCAGCGAAGTTTAGGAATAAGGTACCCGTCATTTTCGGAAACTCCCAAACCTTAAACCCTACTGTAAACCCTATAGATCCCTTAAAGGAACCCTTATAGATCCCTGTAGAGCCTTGAACCCCAAATCTCTTCCGCCGGAATCTGCTCCCCCCCTTGTCCCAGACTCTTCGAAGCCCTGAAGACCCTGAGCGGGAGCTTCCGAAACTTGGGGAACCTTACTATGGCTATGGGGTCCTTATCATAAAGATCCTACTGTCTAGGGGGCTACATTCGGGTCTTTTGGGGCCCTTATACTAAGGAATAAGGGTCCTACTACCTAATGTACCATATTAGGGACCCCTTTTTTCGAAACTCCGATTCTGAGAGCGGCCTGCCACGCCGGACCGTTGCAGCGCTCACCGGCCTCGCCACTGCAACCACAACAGAAAGAGCAGAAATTAGGGTTCCTTTAAAGGGTTACTATAAGGGTACTCTGACGGTTCGTCTAAATGGCTCCATAAGGGTTTAGCGCTTCCCAACATTTGGGGTACCTTATTTTGGGGTCCTTATAATAAGGATCCTACTATTTGGGTACTATACTAGGGTGAAGAGAATCTGGCGGAGGCCGAGGCAACAAACTTGCAGACCCCCCGAAACCATAAACCTACACAACCACGCATGAACTCGACTATGACTATGGAAGAAATGGTCTGCCAAAAACCACGAAGTCGTACGCGTCGTTCTTCCATTCTCGTGCAGCTGTGGCAAACTGGATCCGAAATCCCACAAGCTGATTTCTCAACTTGCTGCAGGTTCGACCTGTGCCCGGAAACCTCAGCCCCCCAGAAATCCCCAGTCCTGAACCCTTAATCCCCATACCCTACTCTGAGCTCCCAAAACCCTCGACCACCCGCGAACTTGAGCGCCTCCAGAGCATGGGCACGCAGCCTTGGAAAGGCGGGTGGAGCTCGAGTTTTGGGGCTCTGAAAAGTTTGTTGTGGATAGGTACCTCTATAGGGACCATCAAGGGAAATTAAAAAGTCTTCCAAATTGCCACCTAATCCTGCATTTCCTGGAGATGGGCTTGAAACACCTTCACACCAAATCCTTCCACAAATCTCACTGCAAGAATCCTAAAATTTCTAACCGATAGACCCTACTTATCCCTAATTACATGACGGTATGGTGGCTCCGACATGCTCCGAAACAAGAAAGCCCAGCGGCTCAGCGAAGGAGTTGAAGGTCTTGCTGCAGCCGTGGCAGTGCCAGGTTCGCTCCTCCTAGTCTGGACAGTAATGGGGATTTGTATAGTAGTGACATGTAGTAATCTTATGGGAACAGTTAACGTACAAGACAAGTTACCATACTGGGAACTTCTACAGTCGTCATTTTATGGGAGGTAATCTAAACTACCACAATGGGGTTTTCATAGCAAGTATTAATATGCTTCCGAGTACCTGAAGCTAGTTGAATTCCCTTAAGCTACGAGACTCCAGTGGCACGACCTCACGGCGGGAGGAGGCTAGATTGACATGAGACTCGAGGGGCCGCACCAGGTGAACGAAAGGAGGGGAAACAAAGCTGGCAAGGCGTTCTCCGGCATCCCCACATGCAACCACAACTGCATCAGCGCAGGGCAAACGGAGTTGGCATCATCACCTCTAGCACATCCAAAACACATCAACAACTCAGCAACAGAGCGAGAAGGGGGGGGAGATCGAAAGGGGAGTTTCCGAAAATAGGGGGTACCTTATTTGGGGTCCTTAATAGGGATCCTACTTTTTAGGGTACTATATTAGGGGTCCCCTATTTTCGGAAACGCTCATATTGCCAAATCAGCCAAATCATTTGGGGGCTGGCCTGCCCAGGCCCGCACTGCGAAGGCACATAGAAACGAAAGCCTCGCTGCCCTGGCTTTCGTGACTTGGAAGTGCCACTATATGGGCAGTTGTCAAAACTAGGGTCCCTGTTTGGGTACCCTAAATATTAGGTGCCGTACTATATTGGGGACCCAAAAAGGCACCATAATTTTGACAACCACCCATATGACTACTTGACCACCGCCTGGCTCTAATACTTCCCGGGAGTTCGGGTTGAAGCTTTTAGGAACACGGTTCGAACTTTGGTGGTGCATCCGGCCCGAACCTCAACAGCCGAACGAGTCTCAATTACCTACAATTATTACTATTATAAGTATTCTCGTCATCATTACTACTATTATGATCACTAGGATTCTCATTGATGTTACTAGCATTAATACTCCTATTATTTTTGTTATTTCTCTATTTATTTTTTCCTTTTTACTATTATGTTTGCTACTATTGTTTGAGTTCCGGAGTCCTCGGGAGCCAGCTCCTCGGGAGGAGGCTCCGGTGGCGTTCCCGGTGATCCGGGCTCTGCCACCTCAAGGGCTTAGGGTTCGGGGGTTGAGGGTTTAGGAGTTTAGGGGTTATGGGGTTTAAGGGTTTAGGGTTTAGGGGTTTAGGGGTTTAAGGGTTTAGGGGTTTAGGGGGTCTAGGGTTTAGGAGTTTAGGGGTTTAGGGGTCTAGGGGTATTATGGTTCAGAGTTCAGGGCGCTGTCTTGGGTCGGGGAGCCAGGCTCCACATTTGAGGACGTCTTGCGGGGGCACAGTGTCGAGTCTAGTCCTTGGGGCTGGGAAACTTAAAGTAGGGTTTTTTGAGAACGTTCTTTACGACTGGGAGACTTGCGATGTTACACGAAGCCAAGTGCTAGGTGACCATAACTGTTGAGCAGTTCAAGCGAAGCCTTGGAAGAGTGGGTTCCAGTTGCAACAGCAAATCGAATCCTACCCCTATGACCAACTTGCAGGCAGAATAGCAATAATAACGAAAGCAATAAGACTTGTATCAAGCATACCGATGATTATTACTATCCATTATTACTGATGATATCAACAATACCAATAATATCCAATAATAGTCTTCATAAATACTACATATAATACTACTGTAACAACAAGAATTCCTAGTGGAATAGATCCATCACCCTAAACCCTAAACCCAAACCACAGAGTCGCCTCTTCCGGCTCCGGCTTCGGCTTCTCGGCTTCGGCGGGCTCCGGCTGCACCTGCAAGGCACGGGCAGGCTGCAGGACCCTGGCGCTGGGAGGCCTTACGGGCCTTGGGCTTCTGGGGGCCTTCGGGTTTCGTTTGGGGTTTTGGGTCTGGGTTTAGGGTTTAGGGTTTAGGGTTTTTGGGTTGGGAATCGATAGATGGAACTCGGAAGAGGAGTCAGACGGCGAATGACAGCGAGCCTGCTGTGAGCCCGGATCTGTCGGTGCTGCCCCAGCTGAGGGCAGCTTGCTCTGGACTTTCCTGAGGCATGCGGGGCTGCCAAAAACACAGGCCACCCAGAAATGGCAGGGTGCTTACGCGTTATTGGAAGCATCTTGATAAACTACTCTCTATCAACATATGGCTGCCAGAGCTTACATCGCTTCTCTCTCTCACACACACTAACACTACTATTACTGCTCTACACAAAACCAAAGCTAATTTGCTGGAGGGGAGTGGCTGTTTCAGCGCACTTGCTGCCGCCATGGCGGCCTTGAAGGCCACGGCGACGGCAGACGTCTTGACGGCCTGCACAGGTGCAAGTGGAAAGTGTGGGGGAAAAGGGATCCCAGCAACAGCCTCTGTTGCGTTCTGAGACCTGGCCCGCCCTGAACCCGAAGCCGCAAACTGCCCAGCTCTAGCCGCAGAACCTTTCAACCCTTCCCACCTCGCGCGGGGGCGTCCTTGAACGCGCACGGCCCGCAGTTGCGCTGGCCATGGCTGAGGATGTAAGACTTGGAGTGTAGTGACTCTGCTGCTGGCTGGAGTAACCAGGCAAATCCTGTGACCATCATCTTCATCAGCAGCATCGTCCTAACAATCACAAACATCATCCAAATCTTGGTGTATCTTACTCAGCCAGCATTTCAGGTTCTATGCCGGCTGCTGAGGATTCGTCCCAAGATGTGTAAGCTGGCTTGACGTCTAGCCTGGAGCTGATGTATAGAGGATATGGTATGGACATGGTCGTCCTTCAATGGCTGCAACGTAGCCTGCGTGTCAAGACGATGTTCGGCGTCTCCAATGTAGTTTCGGGGCTTTTGCAGTCATGCTACATCAAGCTCAGCAAGCGTCAAGGGACAGCAGATGTCAGAAAATTCATTTGCACGCCGATGCCACCCAGGATCACAGCTTTGCAGCACGGGGTGCTTCCTCAAACTCGAAGTATGCATGGGCCACCACCAACCTGTCAGAAGCTTCCGGAGAACAAGGGGGCACTGAACTCAGGCTTTAGGCTCTCGAGGCAGCTTCTAGGGATCTCTCGCCCCTTTCTTAATACTTAGGACTCTCTTGCCTTCCATCCACCTCCGCCTGGAAAAGCACCCGGCCCGGGCCATCGTGCCAAGCGTGCACTCGGAGTTTGCTGTTCATGAAGACCTCGCGTCTTCGACGTTGCTCTTAGACTAGAGATAAATGCGTTGCTTACAGGGACACACTGTACAGCCAGTGCCCAATCCGAGATGCTGGAGATGAGAATCGCACCTTTATCTTTTTGAAGCGTGACGGATCTCCGTCACATAAAGCACCCAGAAGCATACTTGCACAGTGTCCAAAGGTGCAAAGTCCGTGAAGAATGGGTTGGTCAAATCCTCCTATTCTTGCAGCATCCATGTCGATGTGCAGGGGGTTGAAATCCCCAGAAAGACGGTAAATCAGGGCCTGGTTCTCTGGAATCCACTGCTCGCAGGTAAGATCAGGAGGTGTGGAAGGAAAAGTAAGCTTCGTGCTGTAGGTGGTCCCACAACCTTCAAATGGCTCGATGTCCCCCAACTGATTGACGCCACGTCGATACTGGCCTGTCACCAAGCGACAATACGGCACACCGGCGCTATCCGACACCAAAGTCTCGTACTCGACGAAAGAGCTCCCCTTTGGGCGCGGATGAATGCCCACGACCCTAGAGCAGATTCGTGCCATCCCGGCTGTGGGAAGAGGTCGGTGCATCTCCTGCGGTGTGCTTTCAAGGAAGGCTTCAAGTCAGAAGTTTCATGAAAAGGCACGGAAAGGGTTGCGAAACGCCGGACTGGTCTGGCTGGGGTCCAAGAAACGCTCTGCATCGATCGTCAGCGGACCCAGACTGTGTGGAAGGGCTGTCCCAAAGCTCGCCGCCCCGAGAGTGCCAAAGCGTATGGGAAAAGTTGGGAAGACGGCGAAGTCCGGATGACCCTGCAGTGGCGGCAACGACGATCGAGCAGAGTCGGAGTGCCAGCATACATTAACTTTACACTAGCTCTTCATATGAATGAGATGGCGGTAGCAGGAGTTGCCAATGCGGTAGATGCAGCAGCCGCTTCCTCAATACCGGAACTACTACTGGTGCTGGGGCATGGGAGTAGGGTTTAAAGTCGAGCCAAGAGCAGGAGCAGCGGAGCAGAAATGGTAGCAGTAGCGACACAGCAGCAGGAGCAGCAGGTGCATGAGCAGCACGTGCAGCGGCAGCAGCGGCAACAGCAGCAGCAATTGTTGCTCCTGTAGTTTCTGCCACTGCTGTTGTTGTCGCTGCCGCTGCTGATGCTGCTGTTGCTTCGTTTGTGTTCTGCTCCTGCTCTTCCTCTTGCTGCATTGTTGCTGTGTTGTTGCTGCGCTGTTGCTGCACTGTTGCTGCTGCTGCTGCTCTTACTGTTGCTGGCTGTTGGGCCACAGTAGTAATCATAAGCTGGTTGCCGGGCCTCGTACACAAAACGCAGATTGTGCGATCCAATTCCTCAGCTTTCCAGACGGAAGCCGAATTGCTGAGCGGATCACTCTCGCACGCTACCTCACTACCTCAACTCGTGCCAGTCACGCCAAGGATCCCACGGCGTAAAGCAAGGTGTCCCGAATGTTCCAATGCAGCTGCATGGCTTCCCCCCAGATACTCGGCGATCCATCAGGACCCAAAACCGACGAAGGTTGGTATCGGGGCATGGCCAATGGACTCCAGAGACACACAGATTAAGATTTAACTCTGACCTTCTGCAAGCAAATTCCATCACAATCTGTCCCAGTGGCACACCCAGCCGCTCGCTTTGCAACAGGTCGGAATGCTGATTCAATGGCTGACGCTAGTCTCACACGAATGTCTGATTCACTTGACGGCTCGGCGATCGGACATGCAGCGAAAGCCACACATATCCCCAAAAAGCTCTGTGCAGCGCCGCCGTCCCGGGGCCTCGAGGATGCTAGGAAGAATGCCAAGACTACGGATGATCATGATTCTAATCATAGGAAAAGCGAGCATGCCCACAGTTCTGACCTCAGCTTCGCAGCTGCTTAACCTGTCCAGCACATTCTGAAACCCTCAACCTGCACAACCCCACACACACTACACACCTACAACCTGTATAGTATGTTCATGGAACCTTGTATCACTACTCTTTCAGTACCTTCAATGGTACCCGAACAGTACCCTTATACACTGAAAAATACACAAAGGCACGACTGTGCAGACAAAACGGTCAGTCCCATTCAGTCGATTCAACGGTTCAGGCCGCAGCGTTCAAGGTTTAGGCTGTATAGGCCTGTAGGCCACTGGATTCAAACATTCAGAGCACAGGTTTTGGGGATTCTCCTGCAGTAGAGTTGTGGCTGTATGACGGAATACCTATATACCGTGTGCACTCACCACTGCAGCAATCAGGGAAACACGAAACCATCCAGGCACTCACTGAAGCGAAGCAGGCGCGAAACCTCGTGACTTGCAATGACATGCAAGGCGGTAAGTTTCTGCCGGCTGCACTGTGGAATGACTCACCCCATGAACTGCTGTTTTCCGGACAGCAGCCATACCACTCAGTACAGTCGCATCAATCTTTGGGCTACTCCAAGTCGACATCCATTAATCCGTCCCTTATCTCCTGGTAGGACAACTTCCCCGTCTTGTCGCGATCCATACAATCAAAGAGCCGATCAAGATGCCGCAGCTGGGCAGGCGTCACCCGCCCTTGCCGGAGAAGCATGTACACCTGAGCCAGGTGACGTCACAATAGCAATACTATGCATGTCGGACCGCCCGGAAATTTGTCGGCACAAAACGACATGTTTTACATAAAGCAGCAGTTTCTTGTGTATATGTGTGTGTGCGTTCCCTGGCCTGAAACTCCGTTTGGTTGATGAGTCCAGTCCCATCACGATCGATGTGCTTGAACCCCAGATGAGACAAACGTAGCTTGTTCTTGTGGTAGCGCTGATAGCCGGCAATGACTTCCGCAACAGCAGAGATGACATTGAAGAAGGCTACTACGCCCAAAATCATCAATACCGAGCCTGCGAAACAAGGTGACATGGCTTGCTCTCCAAGTAATGCACATGACTCCGACAGCAATATTTTCATCCCACAACCGACGTCACACAGGGAAACTTAAGAGACACGAGCTCCAGGCCTACCAATCGACCCAGATTGGTGTCCGGAGTATAGTCTCCAAATCCAACAGTCGAGAATGTTATAACAGCCATATAAAAAGCATCCAAGAACGTTTTGGTCGTCCCCCCGGTCTCCGTGCACCTCTCATCCACACAGCCCTCCACGGCTGTATAGCCATAGGAGCAAGTACAGTGCTCGTAAAAGCCGAAAAACAGCGTCCAAACAAGCAGAAAGGCACCAAGGATAAATAAGGCCGAAATCAAATGATGAAGCTTTGCTGGACAAATGTGGTGTCTGTGACCGTGGGTGAAAAGCATGTCTTCCATTCGATGCAGCGTGTCATCCACCTGCGCACTCGCGCGTTCCAAAAAAATCTCGGACACGTCGTTTACGATCTTGGCAACTAGCACTGTGCCCAGAAGCACGAAAACGATCATGAAGACCTCAGGACGCGCGACTTTCTGCTGGCAGTGATCTACGCATACCACAAATTTTTGGGTCCCCTTACTCTACTCGACATGGAGATTGAAAAAGGTGCGTGAATCTTGTCGAATGCTACACACAACAGATACACACGTGTGCCTCTTCCTCTTTTGTCACCGTGATGTCACCAAATCCGATGGTGGTAATAATCTGCACCACCACATACAAGGCTGTTTCAGCGTGCCAACCCTGCTTGGCCGTCAAATACATGATGCCAAACATGCCGTAAGATACCACCAAAATTACGTTGGTCCAACCTGGGTGCCGGATGCACATGGGAATACTCCCAAGGTCGTCGTCGGATGCAGACCCATACTCAGCCTCATCGTCTGAAGACTCCTTGCATAAATCGACTTCCATTGCTCTGTTGTCAAGCAGTTGTGCGGATGCCGCACAATGCACAAATTCAACGCCTGCGTACCCTTGAACCAGCATGCCGTCCGCAACCTGCACATCAAACACTCAAACTGTGACATCAGCGATCGAATTTGGTGATGGGAATACTGATGGCGATAGTGAAGGCTAGTGTATCTCTCAACATCTCCGATATGATGTAAGTCGCTGAGGAAGATAATCAACAACTAAGATGCTGGCAAAGAAGCATTGCTATCAATGTTGCATCGACCATGCATCGGGATGAATACTGGCTGCAACTGAAAACCTCTTGGGGGAACGGGTCTTGAAGTTACTGCTGTCGTAACTTTATGAGCAAGCCTAGACTCGCACAACGTTTCCTCAAGCTCATAGTTTCTCGCCAAGTCGAGTCCACCAAAATCTTGAGTTTGCAACTCCGATCCACGTATGTAATGCACCTTACAGGTCCTTTCGCACTGGACCCAAATAAGACACATGCTGAGGCATGAGGAATCGAACTTTGGTTCCCCAACCAACTCCGCGTTCGCGAGCTCCGACGACTTCTATTCCCATATCAAATCTTCCTCATTCAGCCGTTACTGAACCTCTCGCTCGACCACTCAGAAACTACAACACTACTTAAATCCCCATTCCTTTGTGATCTTCCGAAAAGCCTTGCAGCACGCAGCCAATCCAATAAACGACGTCAGAATGCATCGGCCATCTTTTCCCATCAACTTGATCTCGCATGCGCCGGGCCCACATCCAGCAGGCGGCACGACGCAATGCGAACGCTTGTTCCTTGACTGCACATCGCACCATTACGACTGCAGGAACTGGATGAAGTACTTCGATACAAGGGTTCAGGTTTACCTCCACGTCGGCTTGGGTTCTTATTCAAATTGGCGCTGCTTTCCGCCCAAAATACAAGCGTGAAAAAGAATGATTCTGCGTGATTCTGGGGATCTGGCCAGCTTCACAGCATATGGAGACCTGAGCTGCTGTGACTTTAGTCACGTGAATCAAATGAAACCACAACAAATGATGGTTGAACGCTGGATTCAGGATCTCCTCCAAATGAACAACAGGCTAGTGGAATGAAGTTCACCCAAAATACTTAAAAAAGAAGAGGTAAAAGATAAGATCGGACATCAGAAACTTGGCTATGCATCCTGTCAAAGCTAATTGCAATGAAGCGAGAAGAAACTGCATGGGTGGCTATCTGAGATTCTGATACCAGCGAGATCATCCCTTCTGTATTGCGCTTGCAATCCCTTAGGACCTTAGGACCCTGCACAAACCAATACCAGATTGAACCGATCAGTCTGATATGACACAGATCCTTGGAATCCAGAAACCGACCCTCATAAACCAGAAACCTCTGTGCCCCAGGAAGCCTTCAGCAGTGTGGGCAAAGGGTTTTCAGCGTGTTTGGTTTGAGACTGATGCCTTGTATATACGAAATGTTGGCTTCAAAGGTGTTATTTGACACATGTGATTGTACATACAAAGATTTCTGGGGTTTGGAGATCCAACAACCTATCTATGTATGCATATATACATATATACATGTATACATATATACATACATACATACACCACATACATACATACATACATATATACATATATACATATATGCATATATAAATATGTACATATATACATATATACACATATACATATATACATGTATACATATATACATATATACATATATACATATATACATATATACATATATACATATATACATATATAAATATGTAAATATGTACATATGTACATATACACATATATACATATGTACATATATACATATATACATATATACATATATGCATATATGCATATTATACATATATACATATATATATGCTAACCCCCCCCCCCCCCCACCATTGACCTACCTTTGTTGGGGGTCTCAGGAGCAATGAGTGGCAATGATGCATGGACAAGGGAGGGCCTGTTTTTGTCGCCATTATTTTTTTGCACCTGTGGCTTGTTTTCGCGTGTTTGTTATAGATAGTACTAGTACTGGGAATAGTAAAGAGTAATAGAGTAATACAGTCATAGACTAATAGACGAATAGACGAATAAACTAATAGACAGAATAAACTAGTAGACTAATAGACGAATAGACGACTAGACTAGTAGACTAATAGACTAATAGACTAATAGACTAATAGACTAATAGACTAATAGACTAAACAAACTAAACAGACTAAAAGACGAAGAGACTAATAGAGTAATAAAGTCACAAAGCAATAAAGCAATAGAGCCATAGAGCAATAGAGCAATAGAGTAATAAAGAAAGAGTAATAGTACAAGAAACAGTGCGCGCGAAGCGCGTGACCCGCAGGCTTTGCTCCATGACTTTATGCATTGGTAATGGTAATAGTAATAGTAATGGTAAGAGTAATAGTGCTGCATAGTAATAGTAAAGCAGTACCAGCAACAGTAGCAATAGCAGTATTAGTAGTACGAGTAGTAGTAGTAGTAGTAGTAGTAGTAGTAGTAGTAGTAGTAGTAGCAGAGTAATAGAGTCATAGAGTCATAGAGGAAATAAAGTAGATAGAGTAATAGAGTAATAAATAGAGTGAGTGGAGTAGTAGAGAAGGAGTATTAGAGTAATAGAGTAATAGAGTAATAGAGTAATCGA